TCCCAACAAGGATTAAGGAGGTAGAAAAGTGATGAAAAAAGGACAGAAAAGAGGAATGTGAGGAAGAAAAATAAGAGGCCCAAACACTACATTTTTGGGTTTTGTCTCACATGCAAATTTGGCTATTTATAAAAGGGAAGGGGAGCAGAACACTGGTGGCAAACACCTGTGATCTCAGCACTCTGGGGGGCTGAGGCAGGAAAACTGTAAGCTAGAGCCAAGACTGGGAAATTCAGCAATTTAGACCAGATCCAGTCTCCAAAAAGAGGGGGACAGGGATGTAGCTCAATGCTAGGGCCCTGGGTTCAGTTCCCTGGCCCCCACATGGAGGTGTTTGAAATAATAAGTCAGCATTGTCAGATCCCACGTTACGCATCGGTGTCATAAAATGAGACCCCGCTAACAGAATGCGCTGCGCTTTCCCGGGAGGTCAGGGCTCATCCCAGACTCGAAGTGAGCATGGGGTCCAGAGTCGGTCTACGCGGGCTGCAAACCGCGCTCTGCTACCTACCGCGGGGACAATAGCAGGGCCACCTCACAGGACTGTCGCGGCTGGGGGGGGGGGGCTCCGTCTGCAGCAGACTCGAGGCAGGCAATTCCTGGCGCCACGGGAGCGAAGGCTCAGCGCTGGCGGTCTTGGAGGGTTCCGGCGGGGTGGGGAGGGCAGGCTGGCGACGAGGGCACCACTGTGGGGTCGTAGAGGGCGGCGTGGGTCCAGCAGTCGGTGAATGCAAAATGAGAGCTACCACGCCCCTACTCGGCTCACCTTAGGCCAGGGGCGGACCAGGACCTCACATGCGTCCCCCCACCCAGGCGCCGGCCTAGCCACCGGGCAAGCAGGGGGAGGGGCCGCTCCCGGAAACAGCGGTGTGCAGGTGGCTCCGCGCGTCCCCGCCCGCCATTGCTACAGGCCCGCAGCGGACCGCAGTGCGCAGGCGCGGGCAGTTGCCGCCGGAAGTGGAAACTCTGCATGGAGTCCTACCTTGGGTTGCTGCGCTCGGAGATAGCGGTGCTGCGTGACCGACGTTGGTTTTCCTTTTTTGTTAGTTTTTGTTTTGTAGTATTGGGAGTTGAACCCAGCCCTTTCGCACTGAGCTACATCCCATCCCTTTTATTTTTTATTTTGAGACGGAGTCAGGCAAAGTCGCTAAATTGCCCAGGCAGGGCTCGAACTTGTTATCCTCCTGCCTCAGCTTCCTGAGTGCTGGGATGACCAGCTAGAAGGCAGTTTTTCCTTCGCATCTTCCTCGGAGGTCTTGGCTGTTTGCATATCCCTCCAAGCTCCAGGCCCCTCAACCAGGCTGCTGCAACAGGAGTGTGCATGCACTTTACTAATTATTTACTGTTTTAAACCTCACTTGATCCTCTGTTCTTACTGATGGGCCACCTGGTGCAGGGACTGATTCCCACTCTGATCCCCAACACTCCTGAAAGCTTGGGCACCCCTTGCTCCCTACGGTGCTCCACTGGGAAGACCAAATGAAAGGCTGATGACACCGCTCAGGAGCCCAGCGACCCCCAGGGCTTCTCAGCCTCCTTCGAAGGGCTCTGGGGTGATGAGAGAGTTTGGAAATCACTGAGGATCCAGACCCTAGAGCAGCGGTTCCCGAAGGCACGTGTTTGACTTCTTCGGGGGATGGGTTCAGGATGGCTGGAGACACTTAGGTCTGTGACAGCCGCAAGCAAAGGGAGGGACTATGCTGGAGATCTGGTGCGTACAGGTCAGGGATGCTGCTAAACATCCGAGTACACAGGACAGCCCTTTCCAGCCTCTCCAGACCCAGAGGATTATCCAGCCCACCTCATCACCTTGTCCCGGGGCCTCAGCACCAGAGCCCTTGCCAGCTGGTGTTAAATTCACCTGTGTGACTAACCTGTTAGAATGTGGCATGGAACCCAGGGTCGACCATTCCAGGACATTCTGTACAGGTGCCCATACTGCACACTGAGCAACACCACTGAAGCCCAAGTGCAGAGTGTGACTCTCAGGCTGACCCCAGCCTGCTTACCAAGGACTCGCACAAATACTGCTCGAAAGGGGAGTCTTGCTCCAGACCCCAAAGTTCTGGCCTAATAGATCCTACCTCAGAACACACACACACAACACACACACACACACAAAGTATGTATATGGCTAAATGGTGCTTTTTAACATTTAACATTATTTATTATCTCACCTTTTTTCATGGTGAGAACCGTTAAAATCTACTTGATAATATGTTAGTATTCACCATGTTGTAACTGCAGTCACCATGTCGTTCCTTTTGTCTTACCGGAGCCTTGTATCCTTTGACCAACATCTGTCTCCCCTGTGAGTGATTCTTTGTTAACCAGAGTGTGGCTGAGCTCACCTAGGACTTTGGCTGAAGGCCCTCAGTGTGTTCTACGTTACAAGCCGAGCAAACCTAGTGGCTGCCATCAGACTTTGTTCCTGGAAACCATGAAGTCTAATAAACAGAGGGTGGCTTTCGGCACACAGGGAGATTACTAGGGGAGGGGACCACTGCCCAACTATTCGTATTTCCACAATCATTAATTATCCTGTTTCTGTGCAAAGCAACCAAAAGCACCCAAGGACCTCACTCCAGGGCTCCCTGGGGAGTGGAACAGTACCTGCCTCTCCCAGGTGAAAACCTGGGGGGATGGGTGTCCCTCATCAATCAGTGTGCCAGATTTCTCTGGGATGCTGAGGCAGGAAGAATTCACAGGCGACTGTTGGGGAGGGCTGGAACCAGAGCATGTAAAGTTGCAGGATACTTCCAACTAGCTATTGGTGTTCTTACAAAATAGCCTTGGAGGATGCTCTCTTCCAGAAATGGTACTGTCAGAAGTAGGGCTGCTCTTGGCTCAAAGCCATTGCTCTCAGACTAGGTTTGCTAACATCAGCCCAATACCTGCCCCCAGGGTGAAGCAAATTGGCCTTCTCTGCAGGTGCTGCCCTCTGCTGGCCACACACTGTGCAACCTAACTTACCTTGGCTACCTGGACTTCTCAAGTGGGCGTCATCCAGGACCCCGTGGTCTCCAAGGCTGCTTCCCACTGTATCACTTGGTGTGGCTCAAGGGTACCTACTCTTGGCCACTGCCCATTCGTAGAGATTTGGGTGTCTTCCTCTAGTATCTGGATGCCTTCCTCTGAAATCCCTTTCTCTGGAGCATGGGGCCTTTTCTCCCAGTCTGAGAGAGAATGGAATCCTGTGTCTCTAACGCTCATCACCCTTTTGTTACTTTGTGCTTCCTGATCTGACCTGAACCCCTCTTCACTCACCTCCCTACTGTCACCTCAATTCTCCCTGGCAACGTCCTCTCAGTCTCTGTGCAAATCCAAGGCAGCTCAGCTCTTTTCCCCACTGTCAGTAGTTATTGAATAATTGTTTTTGTAGCTTTAACTGTCCAGCTTTTTCTACCCTTGACAAAACCTGCTGGCCCTGCAGTCCTGCCTGGGAAAGCCCAGGATGGAAGCCAGTCCTCCTCAAAGGGGTGGGGCAGGCCAGGCCAGAGTACAATGGACAGCAGCTCAGCCCTTGGCCCTCCTTGACTGGCTGTGCTGATATCTGTGACATATACGGGACCTTGAGAATAGTGGCACCTCCATGCTCGGTACTCATCGTTAACTTGCTCCTGGAGGTGAGATGCATCCCAAACAAATTGCTTTGCCTGGACAGGCAATTGACTCTGACAAGTTCTATCTTGTGCATGGAGGACCAAACAAACTATAAGATGGGACAATTTCCCTATCAAAATGCTTCCAGTACCAAATTGGAGTTTGAAAGCAGTGAGTACCAAGGTCTGACTGTGCTTGAGTGTGTAGGACAAGAAGGCTTTTTGCACTAGTTTGTTTCCTGATCTGCTTCCTCGGTTTGAATGGCCCAATTTGGGCCCCTCAGACAGCAAGTTTGCAGGTCCTCACCTCTCTCTCCACAGCTCCCTACCTGTACCTCCAGGATCTGTGAACAATGTCTCTTTATCTCCATCTCTGTCTCTTCATCACTGAAGGACGCCTCCACCTTAAAGGTTCTAAATGGAAGCAGTGGCTGCACAGGAAAAAAAGCTGGGAAAGCACAGGGCCAGCTCTCAGTCCAGAGGTGCCTAGGGAGCAGGAAGCAGATCTGCAGGACTCCACCTCCTAGGAATGAGGCTGCTGCCTGTGTTTCCATGAGAATCCAGCATCATATACATCCTGGAAGTATCAAGACAGCCCGACAATGTAGCACCTACAAGCTAAGAATCCAGAGAACAGGAACTGGGTAGGGGGAAGGAGCCCTCTCTGATGAACTCTCCCTGTTCCCGACCGTGGGCCAAAAAAGATCCTAAACATCCCAGACCTGAGGCCCAAATGGTGGGCACACAGCACTTTAAAAGCCTTTTATGAGCCAGGCATGGTGGCACACGTCATAGGCAGGAGGATCACGGCTTCAAGCCCAGCCTGGGCAACAGTGAGACCCTGTCTCAACATTTTAGAAAGGGTAGGGGATATAGCTCAGTGTGAAGGCCCTGGATTCAATCTGTAGTACCACAAAAACCAAGATCCAAATCCTTTGTGGTTCCCCATTGCCCTTTGGATCAACAGAAGCCCCTCGACCAGCTCCAGGCCCTCAGCTGTTGGTTCGGCCTCATCGCTACTGAGTTCCACCCATGCTACTCCACACAGGAAGCCAGGCAGGTGCCAGCCCTCAGAGGTCTAGAATGAGGTCACTGCAGACACAGGGGACCTGCTTTATTGCACAAGCTGGGAGTCGCCTCTCCATCATCTAAGAGTGGTCATCCACGTTCCACTTAACCACCCAGTCTTCCTCCTCTTCCTGGGCCTGGCTCTGGGCCAAATCCAGGACACTCAACAAGGTCCAGGTCTCAGGTCTTCCGTGTCTATCTCTCCCAGACATGCATCTTCGAGGGCATCAGCTGCCAGTGCCCTTTGCTGTCCCCGATCTACCCACCGAAGAACTGGAAATCAGGTGGCAGCCAGTAGACTCAGCAGAAGCCAGGGTTTCCCCACCAAACTAAAATCTTGCATCATTGTTATTTATTAGACACAAATCGGTTTTTCAGTCATGCTTGACACCTCCACCCCACGGGAAGGCTGCAGAGGTGAGGGGAGGAAGGGGTTTGGGGAGCTGGGTCCGTGTGGGGCCCCAAGCTGAGTGGGTGGCAGACCAGAGCGAGGAATCTGGGTGAGACACATTAGATTCTGCTGCTGCTCCACCACAAGTGAAGGGGCACTGAATAAGTAACAATGAGTGAGGCTAGGGACCAGACAGAATGTGCGAGCTCTGTCCTCACAGCTCTGGGTACCTCACAGCTGGTGGGGGACAGATCCCCCACCTTGGGCCAAGGACGCTGTCCTCACCTGTGTCCCACCTGTGAGAAATGGAGCCTACCTGGACCAGCTGCTCCCAGGACCGGCTGGGGAGGGAAGGAGAGGAAACCTCAGGGATACCCTGGCTCTAGTCTGGCTCTGGGCTTCCAGACCCCCCACTGGCTGGGAAGATGGGATGTCCTAGAACTCACTGATCCCTGGGCGTGTGGACCTTGAAGTGCTAACACAGGGGAGCATGGAGGGCCCAGGACAGCCGTGGGGAAGGTGGGATGAAGGTCACCAGGGATGTCAAGCCAGGGTCATCCAGAACACTGGGATACCTGAAAGGCACATGATGTTAAGGTCAGCATCTTGTGAGGACCCCCTGAACCCCTCCCTGGAAACTCACCTCAGCCCTGTCCCAGTTACTCAGCAAACCCTTATCAACCCTCTGTTCAGGCTCGTGTCACCTGTGACAGATTCGGTCTCCCCTGCCCATCCCACAGCTGTGTGTGTGTGTGTGTGTGTGTGTGTGTGTGTGTGTGTGTGATATCCCTCTGGAAGAAGCCCTGTGTGGGCACGAAAGGGCCCTAGGGGCTGGCACAGCACAGGCAGAGAGCCACCGGTCAGCCTTTTTTTGCTTTGCTAAATACCTGAATCCAACTAAGAACTGTTCCACGGCCCCGCCTTCCCTTCCTCCCCGCCCGCTATCCCTTAGTACCTGGGGCCACACGCAGCAGCAGTTGCTTGGTCACTCCCACAGGAAGCGCACGTACCAGATGGTCTCATTCTTCAGCTGGGGTCCAAACAGGGGGTTCAGCTGGGACAGGATGGCGAGAAGCCAGCTGCCAGGGACAGCAGTGTGAGGGGGGCTAGGCACAGAAGGGACCCACACCCATGCCAAGGGAGGCCTTGGTCTCTCTTTTCTGCCTACCAAGGACCTCAGACACCCTGCAGGTGGGAGGGCCCGTGTCCTCCACCCAGGGAACCACCCACACCCCAGCAGGCATGGGGTGGTAGCCCAGGGTTTGTGGGTTTTGGTTTGTAAGGTCTCTAAGTTAGGGCTGGGGCTGAGATTAGGGGCCGCTCAAGGCAGCCTCCAGGGCTGGAGTGCCACTCCCACCAGAGCCTGTGTATTCTCTGGTCAGGGGCTCCCTGCTCTCTACAGACCCCAGCTTCACACATGCTGTATCCCTGAACCACACCCTTAAGTCCCAGACCCCTCTCTCTCTTTCTTTTTCTTTCTTTCTTTCTTTCTTTCTTTCTTTCTTTCTTTCTTTCTTTCTTTCTTTCTTTCTTTCTTTCTTTCTTTCTTTCTTTCCTCCTCTCCTCTCTCTCTCTCTCTCTCTCTTTTTTTCTTTCTTTCTTTCTCAGTACTGGGGATTGAACCCCCACAGCCTTTGCATTAAGCTACATCCCTAGGCCTTTATAAATTTTTTTATTTTGAGACAGAGTCTCATTAGGTTGCTAAGTTGCCCAGGCTGGACTCAAACTTGCAATCATCCTGACTCAGCACCCCCAGAATGCTGAGATTACAGGCTTGTTCCACCAACTCTGGTTTCTTTTAAAAGAATCTGTTACCTTTATAAGGGAATCAGCTTTTTGTCACCTAATCTGTCTGTCTGGGTTGTTCTGAATAAAGAGCACCAAAATAGTTCATAAAATAATGTATAAGAGGAAATCCTGCATCTTAATGTGGTTTGACTGGCAATGAGACAGTGTGTCCCCAAAACTAGAACTTGAACTTTTTCCTTGGTTTGACAGCCAGGGCAATTTCAACCAGGAGCAACCTAACTGCAGGACTGGACTGGATGGAGGGGATGTCTTTCTGTTTTTGTAAAAAAGGCACAGTTCCTAGGAACAGCATGGACATTGAGAACTGGGAACTGAGTTCTCTTGAACTGTGCCTTAGAATGTTTTTCTGTATCCCCAGGGTATCCTTCCCAAGCATGACAAGTGTTTCTCTCATTTTATTGTTCTAACCTGGCTGCATTTGATGTCTGGGGATTCTCATCAAAACAGATTCCTGCCAGCCACAGCAGCCCACACTGCAATCCCTGTACTCTGAGAGCTTAAGGCAGGAAGATCACAAGTTCAAGCCCAGCCTGGGCAACTTAATGAGACCCTATCTCAAAAAAAAAAAAAAAAAAAATTAAAAAGGGCTGGGATGTAGCTCAGTGCAAAGGCCCTGGGTTCAATTCTCAGTACCGCAAACAAACAAAGATTCCCAAGTGTAAGCCTTCTTAAAGCCAGGATCTGCTGGGTCTAGAACGAAGCCCAAAAGCTAGAGCTGAACAATCTGTTCAGGCACTTTTGATGCTCATTCAGGTTCACTGGGTAACTCATTCATCTCACAGGTGGGATATGCAGCCCAAGATTGTTACAAAGCTCATGCAGCAGACAAATGGGCACCAGAGCCAGAGTGAGAAGGGCAGACAAAGAACAAACCTGGCAAGGGCAGTACTCACAAGAGGTAACAGCACACAGAAGTGGCTACCAGCATGGTGATGATCACCCTGCAACAGAAGAAGGCACAGGTCAGGTCGGGTGGTAGCACTCTCAGAAGGCCTGGCCAGGCCAGAGAAATAGCTGTCAGCATCAGCTGTTCCACAAGCCCTCCTGATACTCCCTGGACACAGAAGGCTGAATCTTCTCAGGGTGAGAACTGCCACCTGGAGAACAGAAGCTCTCAGTGTCACCTCTTGGGGAGGGATGCCCTGCCCACAGAAGTGACAGTGCCAATTCTGCCTTTATCTCCCTTCTCCACCACCCAAAATTTCTTCATATTGCCGACCTGGTGGGGAAAGTTACCACCCAATGTAGCATGACACTGTGGAGTGGCCTTGGGGCATTCAAAGTTCATTGAGCAATAAGGAAAACAGCAGGTCAGAAGACAGGGCAAGAAGCAAGGAGACTGTGAGCCATTTCTGAGGCTGGGTGTTATAAGAGAACAGCATCTGAAGACCGAAGCTTAAAATACAGGAGGAGAGCCATCAAGAACTCTAGGAGATTTGCCAGAGAATTGACACTAAAATGCTTTACAAAATGGAGCTCTGGGACCCATCAGCCCTGCAAATTTTTAAGAACAAAGGCGACAGGCATCTCTCCAAGCAACCCCAAGCCAAAGCTTATGCAAATTCACAGCAGGGCTTGGAATCTCGGATCTAAAGCACTTCAAGTTCATGCTGGAGACCTCTTCCCTCTTTCAACATTACTCAGGGCTTGGGCCAGTCTTGGCTGGGCACTGTGAAAACAGACTTGTGGACAAAGGGAGAGCATTTTATAACCGAGGATATGATGAAGCAGCAACTAATGCATGTACAGAAATCTGCTAGGGAACCTTCGAAAAATAATGCCCACTCAAAATGATCCAGTGCACAGAATGTGCCGTGCACTGGCGAATGTTTTAAGTGCATTGTTGAATAATCCCCACCCAGCCTTACGAGGCAGGTGTTAGCATCATGCTCATTTACTATGGAGAGACTGAGGCTCAAGGTCACACAGCTGGCAAGGCGGGGAGACACTGCACCGGCGCCCGCCCCGCCCCGCCCCTTCCCGGCTGCAGGAAGGGACACCTGGCCATCTCCATGTCACCTGCTCCTTGTCTAGGTGTCTGTCTCCCCTTTTGGCCCGGACTACTCTCTGTTCCTCGGCCGAACGCGGCCCAGGAGCAGAGACCTTGTGGAAGGCGATCCGGAGAGACGTCTCCGGACTGGTGCTGGCGGCAGGGCAGGATGCCACCCCCCGGAGTGGAGAGGTGGCGGGGGCAGGGGACAGGGGAAGAGGGGTCCGCGGAAGCCAGGGCCTATGTGCCTTCCTTACCCACGGTTAGGTCCCTTCGGCACGAACCAGGGCCCTGCGATGCCGATGAGGCCCCAGAACGTGGTGAAGATGATGACTGGGAGGGCAAAGGAGTGAGCCGTCATAGCCGGGGCCGGGATGCCCAGAGGGATGCAGGCGAGAGAGACAGGTGCTGCAGACTCAAGCCCTGGTCTCTGTAGGGGACAGAGAACATGCGCAGTGGGACCGAAGCGCCGGGGAGCTCGGCCGGCCGATCTGCGCAAGCGCATCTCCTGCTCCGGCCTGGCGCGCTGTCACTCAGCGGCAGGTGGGCGGGCCTTCGAGGAATCCACTAGTTGACTGGTTGACTGAAGTCGTGCCCCTCTTGAGAGGCTAGTTGCGCGGCCACTGGAGAAGCGGTCGGGTCTAGGCAGCCATTGAGTCTCTCGTGCTCCTACCTTAATCCGAAAGACCCGGGAGCTTGTGGCCACCAAGAATTATCCCGTACTGGGTCACACGCTGCGCCAGGCTGCCTGAGAGCGCCCTCCGAGGTCTCGGCCCGCGTTCTCCCCATCCCGGGTGACTGGGGTCCGGGGCAGGTGACGGAACCTGAGTACATTCAGGAGACCTCAGGGGCTTCTCCTGGACTGGGAGCTCAGTGAGAGAGGGGTGAGGTCGGGCCACGTGGGTCGGAATTCAGAGCTCGATGGATGGCAGGCGCGAGGGCTGGCAACTAGCAGTCCCACTGGGCCAAGGACGGCGCCCAGTGCAAGCATCAGCTCATGGCGGACCGAGCAAGGCCTTTGGGATTAATCCTTGAGCTAAGATTCCTTCTGTATAGATCAGTGGCTCCAGGAGGCAGCTGTAGCAGCAGATGCTGCCCCAAACAGCCTTCCACGGTTACTGCCTGGATTCAGTGGTTCTATGGCGTGGGGAACGGATTGATCCCCGCGTGATGGAGAAGAGAAATGTGCCTGTCCTCAAATAGACCCTTGCCAGCGCCAGCTGTTTTCCAGAAGTAGGAGCTGTCACCTCCATCTTCCCCATGTGCTAGTTTAACAGGCAAGTGGGAGGTGGGGAGTGTTTACAAAGATACAAGGCTTGAGCCTTTATTATATCCATGGAAGATGGAGGTAGGAAAGAGGAGGTGCATAAAGATCTTAGGTATAAAATGCCATCCTAGCTTTCTAGGGGTGTCTAATCCAGTTGAAGAGTGATACATTGTAATAAAACCATAATGCTGGCCACACTGGGATAAGAGTCCCTATGATCAAAGTAGTCATTGTCCGTGTTGAGACTTCAGAGGATGTAGAAATGAGGTGAGATTTTAGCCGGATTGTAAAGAATGGTTAGGCTTCCCTTCCAGAGTGTGCGCAGTTGGGAACACTGGCCCAGGAAGAGGGAGCATTTGGCACACATGGGATGACATAAAACTGGCTGGTCCTATAGTCCTGCACAAGATCACCACTACAGTTCATGGCTGTCAGTCAAAAAAAAAATCTAAACTGAACTGTTTCAGAAAAACAGTTCTCCATGTGAAATAACCATAGAGTGAAGTGTATTTCCTGCTTGTTCCTTGCTCAGTTTAAACAGCTGCTTGCTTTAGGTGCCTGGAGCTTCTCTGTTCCCAGCAGGGTCTGATGTTTTGTTTCTGTCTTGGTTTGCATTTGTATTGTGTCATCTGTTTGGCCCCTGTTTTGTGGTCTGTCGTCCACAAGGGGCTCAAAGCTATACCCTGGCTCCACTCCAATCCTGGGATCCTCGTCTGCACCCCAGCTCCAGCTGTTCCCCAGAACATGACTTAATGATGTGGCACCCCTAAGGGTAAATGTCCACCTGAATAAGCAGGTCCCCAAAATATAGTTCCTCATCACCACATGGCCATTTAATAGAGCTTTGTTTTTAGATGAAACGGATCTGAGAGGAACAGATCCATTCCCTTTTCGAGTGATAAAAATGAAGTAACTCACCCAAGGACACACAGTTTAGCAGTAAAAGAACTAGAACCCAGGGCCAAGACCTAATGCAGCTTTGCACACACCCCAGGCGGCCCCAGGAGCTTTCATCCAGCCAGAGGACACTGCTTTCCCAGGCACAATCATGAAGCCGAGGCCGTGTTGTCAGGCTCTCTGCCCCTTTGGCCCTGATGTGTTGCTATGTGTGGTCTCACATGCGGACTTCTGCCGTGGCTCCCCGGAGTGTTTTGGGCACATTGGCAAGTTTCAATGACATCTCCCCGGGCGTGGAGTCCTCACGTTGGTGTTGGTGACACCTACGTTCATCTTTCCATAGATTTGGGCACTGGTGGATTCCTAGGAAAGGCAGAAGTAGAAGGAGCCACTGAGAGGTGCTGTAAAATGTCCCTGAATCTCCCCAGCATGGAGAGCAGGACACTGGGAAGATATAGGAGGCCACCCCAAGAGCCTCAGGCATGACCGAGACACCTCTGCAGATACAAGTGACTCTGGATGTTCTTTGCACGCATCCAGGTTTAGGAAGAATGAAGCTATGGCTTGCCACAGTGCATACTATTGCCAAAGCAGAGATGGTTTGCAGATTTGGAGAAGAGCTTTGGATGGATTCCCAGAACTGCAACAGAGGCCCCAAGGAACCCCTTAGCCAGGTAGGTCTCGAGGCAGCATCTCCTGGACTTCTGCCCAGAGCTCACCACACTCTGAGCCTTGGTGACCCATCTGGCTCTAATTGGTCCACGAATTGGCAACCTTCAACCCTCCTGTCCCTGTGTCCTCCTCTCTGATGGGAGTGTGAGGGAACTGTTTTTTTGTTTGTTTGTTTGGGGGTTTTTTTGAGGCAAGGTCTGGATATTAGTTTAGGCTGGCCTCAAACTCACGGCAATCCTCCTGCCTCAGCCTCCCAAGTGCCGGGATTATAGGCGTGTGCCACCACTCAGCTCACTCAGGAATTCTTGAGATCTGTCTAGGCCATGTCACATGGGTCTAGCATGGACACATCTTCCATCCCAACATGCTTCATCCTGCAGGCCCCTGAATGCCCAAGCTCTTTTCTGCAAACCTCCACGGTTCCCTGCAGTGCTAGGTACTGAATCCAGGGCCTTCACACTGAGCTACATCTCTAGTTGTTTTTTATTTTTTAAATTTTGAGACAAGCTCTTACTAAGTTGCTAAATTCCCTAGGCTGGGCTTGAACTTTCAATCCTCCTGCCTTGATCTCCCAGAGTGCTGAGATTATAGGTCTGCACCAACAAGCCCAGCTAAAGGATGGATTTTATGATGGAACCCTGCATGGAGAGAGGAAGCAGAAGGTCCCTCATGGAATCTCATGACAGGTTAGCCTATTTACCCTGGCTTGCTGAACCTGCAGTCAAGAATGAAGCACAAGGTACTGTTGTCCATCAACCTTCCCGTGGGACTCTGTGACACTTCTGAACTTCTGGGGAAGGCTCTCCATGCTTGCTCTCTGGCAGTGGCTGCAGCCGGGAGTTACTATCATGGCAGTGAGAGTCCAGACTCTTTGGCTGAGGAGCTGCAATGATAGCAGGCAGAGTGACAGCCAGACACATTTACCCGGGCTCCAGGACAACGGTGTCCTCAGACCCACCAGTTCACTTGTCTGAGTTGGGATCTGAGCCACCCTTGGATTCAGCTGTGCCATCCACAGGACACTGCCCTCAGTCAGGTGATCCTGCTGGGACCACAAGATGAGAAAGTGACAGTGAATGAAAGCAGTGTGTCCTTGTCACTGGACCAACTCCTGAGCTCCCTTCAGGAGACTGAAGATGACTGTGGGGGCGGCTGGAAAGCCCACCCACAGGCTGGGCATTTAGCTCAGTGGTTCCACTGCCTGCCTCGCAAGTGCAAGGACCCAAGTTCGATCCCTGGTACCACCAAAAAAAAAAAAGAAAGCCCACCCAAATGGTTCCTTAGGCTTCTGTGAGCTGAAACCCAAAATAGTTGCTTCTGGGGACACCTAAATCCTTCAGATTGTGCTGAAGCCACCCAGCCTGTGCTGAGTGACCAGAACTTCAGGAGCCACACAGCCCCAGCCATCTGTGGCATGGCCATGTGGGGGAGTGGCCCTTGCACTGTCCCGGTGTGACAGAGGTCTTGCCCTCAGATGGCAAGGGACATGGGAAGTGAGAGGTGTACATTGCAATAGCACAGTCTCTCCGATGCCACATGGACCAGGACCATGAAAAACCCTGCCAGCTTCCCTCATCCATGCTTGCCCCTGTAGATCTTGCAACCCTGAGAGCCCTTCTACAGTTGCAATGGCAGAAGCATCCCCAGAAGGGTCCCTAGTACCTTTACTGACGATGACAAAAGGTTCAAAGGGAAGGGGTCTCCAGGCGTCCATTCCCAGGTGCACAGGTAAGTGGCTGTTTGGGTGCCAAGTGTGGCAGGTGCTTCGGCCCCAGGCCCTCGAGGAGCTGTCAGGGCTGCTGGTGCAGGAAAGGCTCTGGGACTACAGGGTCATGCTGACCCACGGGAAGACTCACAAGGAGGAGGGCCTGCCTCAGTGTCCCCAGCACCAGGGACTGGGCATCTCTAGGAAATGCCTGGAAGCTGCACACTGGATGTCACACAGGCTTGGAAAAGAAAGGCAGGGGTAGGGGCCAGGCATTTATCTCAGAGGTTCCGCCACTTTTCTCAAAAGAGCAAGGTCCTGAGTTCGATCCCCAGTACCAAAAAAAAAGAAAGAAAGGCAGAGACACAGCCCACACGCCACACTTCACAGGAGGCTGCTTCTCCTGCCAATTCAGCTGGCCTTGAGCAGCGTCTCCCAGCTCCTGGTTCTTAAGGACTTTCAGGGGAGATTCATGTGTGGAAATAAACTCTGCTTTATTCAGATAGCAAAAGATTAAGAATCGAACATGGTTATTCTAAACATGTGCACATCGTCGAAACCAAGGGAAGTAAGGACATCCATGACCAGTCATCCTTGGTGCTCTTGGCCATGCAGACACCTGTGTGAGGAAACTGGTGACCTCCACCCTGTGCTGATCTATAGATAGCACCCTAGGGACTCCACTTTGCAGGACAGAGAGCACAGGTCTGAAGTTGGTCGCCCTCAGAGGTGTCTGGCCTGGACAAGGCAGGGCTCCCTCACCCCCAAGTCTCTGTGGCTACTGAAATCAAAGCATCTGGTACATTGCTGATTATGTGGAATGTCAGCCCCAGTGGGCATCAGTCATAAGGGAATGGGGGGACAGGTGCCAGGATGAGTACCTGGGTGAAGATGAGGGCCAGGACTCTGCCCAAAGGGAAAGTGCTTCCTCCCTGGGGAACTCTGAGGTCCACCTCCAGAGGTGGAGAGGAGACACCTCCAGAGCTGGAGAGGAGACACCTCCATAGGGTGGAGGCAGAGAGGAGAAAGACAGCAATGTGAAGTGCTAAGGTGAGTGCAGATGTTGGGAACCAGGGAGTCTGCAGGATGGGGAGATGCCTGGGTGCCAGCATCACAGAGCAGGGTCCCCTGCAGAGGGGCAGCACACAGGGTCCTTGTCTGACTAAATGAGCATGAGGCAGGAGCAAGAAGCCCTTTGCACAGACATCCCTAACTTCCCAACTGGCTAGGGAAGCAGAACCCGGACACCAGCTTCCTATCCAGCTCAGCAGCCTGGAGTCTGCCAAGACCACACCGCCCTGGGAGGAGAGAGCTCTCTCCAGGTAGGAAGGGACAATGGGAAGGGGACCAGGGACCTGCTAGTGATGGAGGTGTCCTAAGTGGAGGACCCCCACAAAGTTCTGGGGCAGCTTGTTAGAAACCCTCATCTCTGAGTCCAGTCCGGGAACAGGACTGTGCAGGGCATATTCACCAAGCAGTGCTGGAAATTCCAAGCAGAGTCCCCAGGGCAGCCTGCAGAGGAGGGGACACCCCTGTCCTGCTGATGGCCCATTTGGACAGCACCTCTGCCCACAAGAGGACTCTGTAGCAAACTTCACGCTAAGGACAGGGATGGGGAGACCACAGGGTAGAGATGGCCCTCTCTCAAGGAGTGCGAGGCTGTTGCCACTATGCTGGGGCACACGGAGCGCAAGCAGGCACTTGGATTCTCAGCTGCCATGGCGTAGAGAGGGAAACTGAGGCACAGATAAGCACGAGGGACTAATCACAGGCAAGCCACTGCCTGCAGCAGAGCCTGGCTGGATCAATTCTGAGCTTGACCCACATATTCCTCAGGAAAACACACCCAAGGAGAGCACCAGGAAGGGCACCAGGCAAGACCGCCCTTCTCAGGTGCTCTGGGGAAGGGTTCTCCTCTTTCATCCTAGGGTACACCCAGAGGAGGAGCAGAACTCTCTGACATGTGTTTCCCACCTGATCCAGATCCTGCTGATTCTGTCCGGGAGCTGCCAGTGGCCCTGAAGGCTGACTCCTGGGGTCTCTTGAAGCCAGGCTACCACCCTAATGAAGACTTGCTGCCCTGCCAGGGACTCGGAGGCCTGGGATGCTCCTTTCGGCTCCCAGCCCCGATGGTCTCTCCCAATTCAGGGACATCATCTGCCGCCGGCAAGTGATGGGCCGGGACTCTTTCTGGAGGACCTTAAAAATGGACAGGAGACCCTCTGGGCATACCTTGCACTGAGGCCTGGGGCAATGCCTGGTGTCCCTTGGAGGCCACTTTCTAGAACTCAGGGGTGACCCCACCAGGACAGCCCAGAGTATGCAGTCTGTCCCCATGAGCTGGTCAGGTGGCAGGGCCACGTGGGTCCCCCAGGCCTTCTTCAAGCCCTCCTCCCTCAAGATGGCTCGGGGCCCCCGGGCTGGCGCAGTACAGGAGTCTCGGGGCTCCACGAGCATCCTTCAGAGCCTCCAGGGCTCCCCGGAGGGCGTGATCGGCCACTTCCGTGTTCCCAGCCCCTTCTTCCTGGGCCCAGCACCTGCGTGGGATGAGACCATGATGGTTACACTGGGCAAATGACAGCACCTTTCTGCACCCAACCTCACCCCAGGGCTGTGGGAAGACAATGAGGCAGGACAGTGGGGAAAGGGCCAGTTCTGTGTCTGCGGCCCTTACCTGTCCCAGCTCTGCTGTGTCTGTTTCCCCAAGCAGTGCACAAATGCCACGTCTGGGGGCACTTTTGATTGTCACACCCAGGGAAGGTACGGCTTTCCAGTGGGTGGCTGGTGGGTAAGGCCTGGGATCTGCTAAGGCTCCCACAGTGCCTGGGGCCCAGGAGGAGACTGTCATCACACACCACCTGCTGGTGTCTCCGCTGGCTTCCTCACAGGTACCTGTCCTGCCGTCCCTCAGAAAGGACAGCTTGCTGGAGGACACACCTGGCACTTCTGCCTCCTGCATCCTACAGTGCTCGACACTGAAGCAGCTCCCTCAACCCATGAATTGGGGTGAAGTTGCCCAAGGCCCTCTTGGCTCCCTTGGTCTCACAGGTAGGGGTCCTCCCAACTGCAGCTGCAGAGCCACTCAGCTTCCTGGGAGCCTGGGTCAGTTCTGAGATCCAGGCACACAGCTAGTCGGGTGGCAGAAAGAGACCTGGAGCCAGGCAGGTGGCTGCAGAACAGGATGCTCTTTGCGTTACGCCTTCTGCCCCAAGCTGAGCACCTGGTCTCTAGCTGGGCCACCTACAGTAGCTGTGGCCTGGCAAGTGCCTGGGCAGAAGTTCTGAGATCCTGGGGTTTGGACTTCTGGCTCAGCCCAGGATGGGCAGATCAGCTCTTGCCCTGCCTCCCACATCTGGGTCGGGACCTGCCCATGTACCTACCTGTGTGGGAGTGGGCGGGCTCCTGGGCACAGGCGTACACGTGGTTGAAGCGCCGGCCTGAGGAGGTCAGGTACCAGTGCTGGATGGCAGGCTGTGGGTCATACTCTGTGACTGCTACTCCGTTCACCGCTGTCATCATGAGCATGTTGAGCACCTCATTGGAGAGCTTGGTCCTCTCATCAGTCCTGATGCGGTTCATGGCCTTGAACCCACGCTCACAGCAGGAGGTGGAGATGGGCATGCAGACCACCACGGCCATGAGCTTGCTGAGCAAGGGGAAGCGGCAGCGCTGGGCCAGGGCATTTTTACACAGCATGGAGAATGGGAGGTTCTGGGCAGCCACTTTCAGGCCCAGCCACTCCTCCAGCAGTGCCTCCTCACTGTACCCTATGGGTAAGGAGAGCTCAAAATGCCTGGCAAGGCTGAGAATGTCATCATTCCCAAAGTGGACCAGCTCCACCCCACCCGGCCAGGCCATGGTGTCAAACACCTCCATGTTCTTGAGCTGCACCGGCCGGTCTACATCAAACCTCTGCTGAAGGTACTCCAGCCCAGTCAGGATCATCCTCTCCCTGTCCACCTGGAACCGCTGCTCTGCCATCTCCACCCTGTCCAGAAAGACACCATGCAGCTGCCCATCCTGGAAACTGGCATTGAACTCCTCCTCTTTGGGTCCTGCCTGGTGGCGGAGGGTCTCCAGAGCGACATAGGCACGCCCCAGCTCAGAGTTCACCTCTGTGATCAGCACCATCTCCTTCTGGCACACCTCAGCCAGGGGCCTGTAGATGCTCAGGAAGTCCAAGAGGAAGTGGCAGAACTTGATGAAATGTAAGCCCTTCATCAGCTTCAGCAGGCCCTGGGCCCTATGCCCGACCTGGCCCCCTGCTTCCGCCACAGTTTGGAGGTGCCGCACCAGCGCAGGCCAGCTCATGAGGAGTGTGTTCAGTGTACGCCTCTTGCTGGCTACCCAGCGGACAGCATTCAGGTCCTTCAGCCGGACAATTTCCTGCTCCAGGGGCGCTGCACTGTCCTGCAGCTCGCTCAGCCTCTTGTTGGAGGATTGGTAAAACTTGAAGACGGTCCGGATGTGCCGGTCACACTTCTTCATCAGATCGATTCTCCCGCAAGCGTCCACCACGGCCAGGTGCAGCTGGTGGGCCACGCAATAGACAGGCAGCAGCTGCGGGATGATCTCCTGGAGCTTCTCCACAAGGCCGCCTTTGCAGCTCAGCATGGTGTAGCCATTGGTGCCCAGGCCCACCACCCAGCCAGGCTTCCGGAAAGGGATGTCCAGCTCGTCCAGGGCTGCAATGATGGTCTCAAAGTACCCATCCACTGTCTCACTATGGAGTGGGGCCAGGGTGATGTAAGACTCTTTCACCTCCAGCTCCTTAAGGTAGCGGATGTAAATCCCCATGCAGGCCTGGTTGGAGGAGTCCCTGCAGCTGTCCAGCAACACGCTCACACATGGGGACCTGCGGATATCCCCAAGGATCTCCTTCTTCAGGGTCTCTGAGATGTATTTGATGAACTGTGTGCACGCAGTACGGTTTCTGTACTTCCCTAATATCATGGTCCCAGTGCTTTGGAGGAGCTGCAGCATCTTCTCAAAGTCATTCAGGGGCCGAGAGTGGTACGCAATGGAGTAGGCAGCATTGAAGAAGTGTTCCATGTTGGCCATGAGGTCGCTGGAGATCTCTGGGACCAGGGTGGCCTGAGGACTGCTGTCTTTGACCTCCACAGTGTTGATGCAGAGCTTGTGAGCCTTGCTGACTTCATGGTACTTTAAAGTTTCCACCTTAAAGGGCCCAGTGTAGCCTTGGACTAACCGAGATGATTTGTCATGGAGCATGGGTCTCTCTTTGCAGGCTGAACAGAAGAGCTTGGTCTCAGTAGGGTCAACTACTAACCATGGGAACTGCCCAAACCATGACCTCTGAATGGAACGGGGTCTGTAAGTCCTCCGACTTTTCCTAGGCATGCTGACTTTTCCTGCACATGAACTGGAAGGGCAGTAGGAGGCTCTCATTTCCACAGGAGGAGCTGGAAGTGATACAGATTCTGTAGCAAGGGCCTGAGTGTCTGCCTCTCTTACTCTCACCATCTTCTTTCTCCCTTTGGAGAAAATTTAATCATGCTTAGTTTTGCTGCCCCAAGCTCCACAAGTTTCCACCAGTGAAGTTACCCTCATCCAATAAGTGCCCCTTGTAAAAAGCAGAGGAACTGAACATCATGCTTCTTTAGAGATCACTTGTGGCTCCTCCTTAAACCCTTCCTCGTCATTACCTATGGCAGCCAATCTGTCCCCCAGATGGCCCCAGTGGTGGCTGTCCTTGTGGGTTCTCTGTGACCTCCTCGCTCTGTGCACCCAGCTACTCTCGGATCATGTGACACCAAATGTTAATAAGCTCAATTAACCACCCTTAAGCAGAGATATTTATTGAACAGATGGCTTTAGTCCTGTTGTGAGACTCCACAGAAATGAGGTTAAACATCCCCAAGTCTTCTGATGTGCCTTAGAAAGCAGGGAGGTATAGAAGTAACCCTTGGTAGCCATCCAGCCAGGCAGTTATTGACTGAGATGTGGAAAACAGCCACTTTTTCCAGACCCATAGTGCTGTCCCCATATGCCCAGGACAAGGGTACACAGGCTGACGCTAGTTCCTGGCATCCAGTGCCCCCACCTACCTCCTTCTCCTATCAGCCCTGCCACACCCCTCTTCAGCACTTACACTTATCAAAGGATCTCATTTTTTCTGTGCTATCCCAGTTTCCCAGATGATTCTACACTCTGTTGGCAGGGTTTATTTCTTACTCATCTTTGTTTACCCCAGTGCAGGGCCTGGTGCACAATCTGGTAAGCATGGTTGACCCAACATCATGTGACTTGGTGTAGCTGTATGGGGCCAGCATGTGCCTTCAGAACTCAGTAGCTAAAGACTCACCTGGTGGATGACCCTTCCCCGACTTCAGACTGTTTGGATCCTTGATCCAGGGTGCAGCTCTCCGCTCCAGTTTTGAGATCAAGTCTGGCTTGGCAGCAGTAGGCCCTGTTGCAGGAGTGAAGAGTCATACTATTATCACTGCTAAAGAACTTCAGGGTGAACAGCCCATCTCAAGCTAGACCTGGTCCCTATCCTCGGAAAGCCTAGTTGGCCCGGGCAGGCTGAGCGAGCATTCCTGTCCAGCATGGCAGAGAGGGGGGCTGGGGAGGGCGTGCCCCTTAGCCAGGATAGATTACTTCTGCAGCTCCGAGGGCAGCCCGGGAGCAGGAACCAGCAAAATGCATCCAGAAACACAGGATAAAACAGAAGAGGGAAGGCAGACATGAAAAGCAAAACCACACAAGAAGTAAAGGTCGCCCTCACGCCTGTCTGGGGCACACGTCTCCAGCACAGCTCACTGGCCTTTGTGCAGGTGGCCAACTTCACAGGGTGCTTGAATGGGGCCAGAAAACACCTACCACCTTCGATGGACCCTGAAATCCACCTAAAGGAGATCTGTCCCTCAAATAGGAAGATTATTCAGGGATGCACAGAGAAATGATTTCCTTTATTTATAGTGAAATCCATTACCATCTACTTACACAATTCTGTCTATATGTGTGTTTCTTTGGAAATACAAGCCAGGGGTAACTGTGGGTGCTTCTGAAGAGGAACTGATGGATGGGGGGGATTATTTTCCACCATCTTTTGGGTCACTTGCATATATTTGTATTTACTATGTAGATATTTGTGTGTATCTCTATATCTACCAGTAATAAAAATATTGTTATTAAAATGGGATAGATTGAATTTATATCCTTCAGTTGTCTCTGAAATGACAGCAGAGGAATAACGATAAAAGGAACCATAAGCTAAAGAGAAACTGGAGTAGGATCATTAACACATTATTGGAAGAGGGAAAGGAGACAAAAGAGAGAAAAACCAACAGAGCTGACACCAAACACCCACAGAGGAGGTAATCAGGGGAAGCAGGCTGCTTTGCAAGACAGAATCCAGAAAGACTCAGAAGCAGGAGGCCGTGGGGTGGGGAAGGTGCCAGGTAGGCAGGGGACAGGACCAAAGTCTGTGTGGAGGCCCTGTGCTCTCTTAGACCATCTTACCCAGGAGAACAGAGGCTGAGTTCACAGAGAAGCACACCAAGAAGGGCTCCAGACTCCAGGACACAGAAAGGGGAAGGAGAACGTGGTGCTGAAAACAGATGGGTAAGGTCCGTAGATCGAGGGGTGCACTGCTTGGTGCCAAGAAACCTGCTCAGCTTATCCCTTCCAAGCTGGAGACAGAAGGATTTTCTTGCCTCAGATGGGAACCACCCCACCCGCCACCCCCCGCCCTGGCAACATCAGTGGACAGCAACTTTGGCGGGCTCCCTAAGGAGACATCCAGTTGTGGCTGGTCCTCTACAGTGTCCCAGCCATGCACAAAGCAGTTTGGGCACACAGCTGTCTCAAGGCTGGGCAGTTTTTCTTGAGGAAAGGGAAGGACAATGCCAGACACAATATGCTTTACTAACCTAAACTTTTTTTTGTTTAACCATTCAATTCTCACATAGCCTGTGTGTTTTTGCCCCATGGTTTAACCATTTACTCTTCATAAAGCCTGTGCGCTTTTGTCCACAGTTTAATAATTTACTCCTGGTGAGGTCCCCTACACTGAGACAAGCAGCGAAAAGCACCAAAAACTAGAAATCCTGCAGAACAAAACCTAGCTTCCCAACAATGAGAATAGGAAATATTTGTAGGGAAAAAGTCGTGAAGGAATGGAACATCAACATGGAACTCTATTCATGGAATATAAAGTGCCTAGAAATGAAAACACCAAATAGAAAATAAAATAGAATTTCTAGAAAAGAAATTGAGGAACTCACTAAGAAAATAGCACAAAACAGACAGAAACAGAAAATAGGGGGAAAAACCCCACAAAGAAATAAAAAAGCCGAGGCTCAGACCAGGAAGTCCAACAGCTAACACAGTTGTTGGGGAAAAAAAGAAAAAAGGCAAACAGGAAGAAATCATGTTTATTATAAAGAACATTTCCTCAAACTGGAAAATGTTTCCTTGTGCAAGGGAACCCCCAGATATGCAGAACAAAAAATAAGTAGCAACCATGTGAATGCATTCTGAATGGGTCATTTCAGAACACTGGGAGAGACTTGAAAGCTTTCAGAGTAGAACAAATAGGTCATGTTCAAAGACTCAGGAATGAGAAGTCATTAAACTTCTTAACAGCACCAGTAAACCTTGACAGAACAATGCTTCCAAAAGCTGAGGAAGACTGGTTCCAACCTAGAATTCCGTGCTCATCAACTGTCCAATGCCTTTTGAAGGTACATTGTGTTTAAGTCCCCAGGGCCCAGTGCAAATACAAAACCTCTGTCACCACAAAATTAATGACTACTGGAGTCAACTCTCACTTGGGAGCCACTTAAGAATTACGAACAACTAGGGGCCGGGGATTTAGCTCAGTGGTTTCGCTGCCTGCTGCGCAAGCACTAGGACCCAAGTTCGATGCCCAGTACCAAAACAAAAAAAAAGAATTATGAACAACTGGGCTGGGGATGTACCTCAGTGGTAGAACTAAAAAACTAGGAACAATGATAAAGTCTATCGGGCAAGAACGTTTAGACCTTAGCTGCAGGGTAACGAAGGGACATGACATCACTGATATCATAAATAGCCTCATTTTTTGTCATTCTGCAGAAGTCATGGTGCAGGTTGCTGCTGTGATTCCCAAGTCACACACAGCAGCCTGCCCTGAAAGAGTCTGCTGTGATATATGTTAGTAAAACGTGGAAGGAAACACAAGCTCAAGGAGAGAGGAGAGGAAAGGAGGAGGAGAGGGGAGGGCAGGGAGAGGAGAGGAGAAGACAGGCTGTCTTTTCACCTCGATACTGCGTAAGATGCTGGGTGTCTGCCAGGAGGGTGAAAGAACAAGAAACATGCAGGAGAGGGGACTGTAAGTGTCACTACTGTGCTCCTAACTAGTTCTCCAAGGTCCAAACTTTAGTGACTCCAAGGCCGAAGGCTGCCAACCCATGCTGGCACCTGGCAAGATGGAAGAGCTGCCTGCAGATGGAGTGTGGAGCCCAGTGAGAGGCCCTTTGCCTCCAGCCCTTGCTTAGGTTGTTCCCTTCTTGCTGTGTCTACTGGTTTTGCCTCTCTAGAAAGCCTCCTGATCCCTCTTTCTGCTGCCCAGCAGATTTACAAGGCCTGACCCCAGCAGCCACAGGTACTCTTCCTGTTTGTCACCTGTGATCCTCCTCCTTCAGCCTCCCAGAGTGCTAGGATTATAAGCGTGCACCACCATGCTCAGCTCTGCTGCTCTCCTACAGAGACTGTATCTCTGATGGCTTTTTTTTTTTGTACGCGGGATCGAACTCGGGATCCTGAACTCGGGACCTAGCGCTTGTGAGGCAGGCAGGCATCAGAACCACTGAGCTACATCCCCAGCCCTCTGATGGCCTCTTATTCAAATGTGTGCCTCTCCCACAACCCTGAAACTACTTTGAAAGCGGCAACCTTGGCTGGTGCGTGTTCATTTGGCACTTGGTTGGGTGCCCAATAAATGTCTGCTAGAGGATGGACTTATGGATAGACAAGCAGATACATAAAGAGGTGCTAAAGTAGAGAATCCCAAGGCAGGGAGAGTTCCTCCCCTCAGAGGGCAGAAATGGAAAGAGAACTACAAGCCACAATGCCCTCTGGGGTCCCTGGGTCAGATGGTCAGGTTATAGTGGCACAGATGGGAGCTTTACCCAGGGATGCCAACAGCTCATAGTTCATCTGCATCACGTTTCGGTACAGCTCCTTCTGCTGCTTGTCCAGCAGGCCCCACTCCTCCCGCGTGAAATACACTGCCACATCCTCAAACATGGCCGGAAGCTTCTCAAGCACCACGGGTACCTCTAGTAGCCCCTCCTCTGCAGGGCCCTGCAACAGAGAGCAGACACTCACTTCCGGTGTCACATGACACTTCTGGTGGCTGCTGAAGACCCCTGTGTCCTGGAAGCTTACAGAGAGGCCTCGATGTTCAATGAGGAATTAATTTCTCCACTGAAAGGCAAAGAATCAAACTGTGGAGGCCCAGAATTATCAGGTAAAACCAAATGGGCCCCAGTCAGAGCCTAGCCTCTCCTGGGAGGAATCAGAAACACTTGGTTAGGACAGGCGTCTCAGTAGAGTCCCTGAGTCCTAATGGCAGTGTCCTCTACTCATCTATCTGTGACTGCAGAGGTGACCACCTACCTCTGGGAGCACCTGCCAGGATTCCCCAATGGGACATAAGAATAGTAGTGACAAAGAACTAAGGCTGCTCATAATCCCTTGACCTCAACACAGGTTGACATCTGCCTCACTGCTAAAGGAATTTGATTACAAAGGTTAGACCTGTTTGTTAGCTTCTTAGACTAAAAAACAGCAGGAACAAGAGCAAGAGAAAAGAGCTTTGTTGTCTTTCTGGATTCTGGGAGAATTCAAGCTTACTAATTTGAGCCAGGTTCCTTCTTTGTTTTTTTTTTTGGTGCCAGGGATCGAACTTGGGAACTTGTGCTTGCGAGGCAGGTGCCGGAACCACTGAGCTAAATCCCCAGCCCCTGAGCCAGGTTCCTTCTGATGTTAGCTATGAGGAACATGTGAGCTGCTCTCTTCGGATTCTGGAAGGGAGCATTAACAGTGCTTTAGAGGAAAACCCTATTTGAGTGCAGCAGTGGAGAATGGGGAAGGTTCTAGCTACTCAAAGATTCCAATTAACACCATTTCCTTAGAGACCAACTTTCCTGAAAATTATCTAGTTACAAAATAAACTTAAGGTGAGTGGAAGGAAAGCACCAGGCCTATGGTCAAGGGCTCTGGACAGAGGTCATGGGCACTGGACTGTCATGGGCTCTGGGAAGAGGATAAGGGCTCTGGGCTGAGGTCAAAGGCTCTGGGCAGAGTCCAGCATTTACAGCAGCTCATGGACTCTGGACATGTCACCTCAAGTAACGCAAGTCTTAATTTTCTCCCAAAACAGTAAGTTTAATAATACCTGTTCTACCCCGTCACAGCAACATTAGACATGTGACATCACACAGCGTGTGTGAAAGAACTCTGCAGTGTTTAAAAGTGCTACATGATATCCAAGCTAAATTTTTTTTTTTGGTATTGGGGACTGAACTCGGGACCTTGCGATTGTGAGGCAGGCGGCGGAACCACTGAGCTAAATCCCTGGCCCCTCCAAGCTAATTTTTAAAAAATACTGGAAATTTAAGAACTAGGTGGTCATTCTGTGTTTGAGGACCATTTCTCAAGTTCTGCAGCTGTTCTGGAATCTGGATAAAGATTATCTTTCCTGTTATCAGCAGTTAGAATGTTCCATCCCACTGATCGTATTTTTTATCTACAAAAAGGAGATGATAGTAAAAGTGCAGTTATCTGCAGCACTTAAAATGATGCCTAAGTTACTCTTTTTCATCACCCCACACAATATGCATTGTTCTCGTGGGACTCCTTCTCTTAAGACACAGCAACCATTATAAATGTATTACCTGCCTGCAGAATTCAATAGTATTATCGCCTAAAATGTTAATGTTTGAGGAGTTGTGACTGTCACCGGAGATTTCTTTTTGCCTTAAATCTGCAATGCAGTCCAGATACAATGCAGGTATTGCTGTGCTCCGCTCAGGGTCCTCCAGTTCAGCTCTCGAACTTGGCAGGAGTTTGGTCATCTTATCAAAGTCTCCCAAAGGCTCTGGTGGGTAGAACATGGGGTAATTTACAGGGAAGAGGTGCTCGGTGCCAGCCAGGACACCTGCAGACCCGTCTCTGATGCTCCGGAAACGGGCTGCCCAGATGGGGTCTCGGGCGGCCAAGGCATTGACACAGAACAAGTGAGCTTTGCTCTTGGCATGGTACTTGAGGGTCTCCACCTTGAATGGTCCAGTATAACCTTCTATTAATCTTGACCGTTTGTCCCTGACAGATGGGTATGCTCGGCAGGCAGAGCAAAACAAAGCCGTCTGCTCCTCGTTCATGATCAACCATGGAAACTGTACAAACCACGACTTCTGGATGGAACGGGGTTTCTTGCTTCTTCCTGTCCAGTCTCCCTCGATGGTGTCACCCTCTGGACTTGAGGGGACAAGGCAGGCTTTCTTCAGTGGTGGCAGGTATGGTCCACTGTCCTGGGCCAGATTCTCTGCATCCATTTTTTTCATGTATCCCACCTGATTTTTTCCTTGAGAGGAAAGAGACAAATGTAATTTGCTTTGAAATCCCATGGACAGAGCTACTGCAACTCCCATTGGCTCTGAGGTCCATTGGATACAGAAGGTGGGAACCACAAACTCAGTCCAACAAGGATGACACAGCCTCTCATTTTTCTAGTGACTCAGAAGTATGTCAGACTTAAATTTTCTACTTTCAGTTCCCCAGAGCCCCAGGCCCATGCTGCCTGATCCAGAAGAAAATCAAAGAGATGGGTTCTAAGTGAATCCTCTCTTTCAAACAAAATGTAAAGGACCTGGCCCTGAGGCGATCTTTCCACTTTGACCAATGCCACCTAAGGCAGTGACACCATCCTCAGGGGTTTAGGACTTACTTATGGATAAGAACACTGGCGTCACAGAACACAGGGTTGAACAAGGTCATCATGCCATATGACATAACTCCTTCCTCTGCAGGGACTTGATCCTGTGGTGGCGCCACTGAGGGGCATCCGAATTTTGCTTAAGTACCTCTGGAGCAAGAGCATTATACTCTGGGCAGGCTGTGGTTCCAGACAATTTTCTCTTTTTTCTCCTTTCTCTTCTCTTTCTTTCCTTCAGTACTGTGGACTGAACCCAGGCCTTCATACTGAGCTACACCTCCAGCTTGTTAATTTTTTTTTTTTCTGAGATAGTGTCACTAAGTCACTAAATTTCCCAGGCTGGGCTTGAACTTGTAATCCTCCTGCCTCAGCCTCCCAGAGTTCTGGGATTATAGGCATGTGCCCGGCTCTCAGAGAGTTTCCTGTAAGATGCAGTCTACCTCTGGGTAAAGTAGTCTCCCTTCATCTGCAGAGCACATATTCTAACACCCCAGAGGAGCCTGGATCATGGAGTGTGCCAAGCTCTACATTACTGTGGGGTTTTTTTCCTATCTACACATACACATGATAAAATTTAACTTGCTAACTGGGCACAGTAAGAGACTCAAAACAACTAATAATAAAATAGACTTTTAATGATATACTGTAATAAATATGTGAATCAAACCCTTTCTTTCTCTCCCTCTCTCCCCAAATAACTGAAACCTCGGAGAATAGCACTGTGGATAAAGGGAACTACTCATTGTACTTCTACCGCTGATCCCCATCCAGCACTCAAGAGAAACTCAGCTTCCTCTCTTACACCATGACCCTTCAAGGAGGTAAAATCTTTTATGGGCTCATGAAGATTTTCTCCTTTAAACTGAAGCAGACATTTCCTCTTTCAACCCTCACGTGGAATGCAGCTTAGATGACTCTTGTTCCCTGGAGCCACTGCTCACACATCAACCAAAGCTCAAAAGCCCAGTGGACAAGGACCCATCATTCTTGCTCCGGGCTGATGGACCAGCCTTCCACACTGTAGCCAACCCAAGAGCATAGCTGTCCTCAGAGTCGGTAAGTTCAAAATGAACAACTAGGAAGGAGAAGCCAAGTGAGGCTCCCGTGGTTCTGATTCTTTAAGGAGCCACAAAGCAGCAGGCCAGGGCCGCCATGGTCCATTTAAGCAGAATCACAGGAGAGCAAACTTCATGACTTGGCTCCTGTAGGATGTTGTCACCCTCTCCCAATTCTCCCCACAGAGGGGCTGTTTACTTGGTCATCTCACTAACAGAGTGCCACTGGCCTGGCTCCAGCAAAGCCAACCTGAGAGGCTGCACAAGGGGGAAGAAAATCCCTAAAGCTTAGCCACTAGCTGTTCACTCATTCCTTCACGCCATATTCATTTGGTGATTATCTACTGTGCAAGTACTGTGTTCTGGGCACTGTTCTAGGCACAGGAACATGGCAGCAGATTGGGACAGTCATGCCTTCTTGGAACTTTTAATATAAATAAACACACACTCTATGGTAGAAACCAAAGCAAGGGAGCCGAGGGGGTAAGGAGCGACGTTGGAGAGGTACGGTACCCAGGGAGGTGACCAGGGTGGGAACAGCAGCATTTGCTGTGCAAGGTCTGGAAATAGGAAGGGTGGAAGATGACACTGCAGTCCTGGTGTCCCATCCCCTGCTTCACCACTTACCAGAGTGATGGCCCAGAAGACTCCTTTGACTGTGGATGTCGCCTACCCATGGCTTGGACCCTCGCCCAAACTCCCCGAACAAGTTGGGGCCAGCCACAGTCGCTCCTGAAAGGGGAAACAGAGAAAAGCACTGAGTGCCTGGCCCAGGTCACATGCTAAGGTGGGCTCAGCTGGGATGTCCCTCCATGTCATGAGGTCACAGGCAGAGTAGGAAAGCAGGAGTTAGGTGGTATAGCCCAGTGGTTTGGAAACTCAGGGACCCGTGAGACCCCAAGGGAATGGAGGCTGAGGGGCTGGTTGAAAGCAATGAGGGACATCGGCAGAGCTCAAAGCTGTGGAACCAGACAGAGGCTCATGACCCCAGGGCTGATGGGCAGCTGAGGAAACCAGGCCAGGTGTGGGGGCTGTGGCAACCTAGAGGACTTGATCCTGCAGGAGGGGGACAGCAGCTACACAGCTCTGGAAGGCCAGTACCAGGGACACAGGCTCAGCACTGCCACATTGTCCTGTTAGTCAAGAGAAGCTAGAAAACTATATTTTTATATGAAGGCTCCCAATGGCCAAATATTGGCAACTTACTTACTTACTTTCTTTCTTTCTTTCTTTCTTTCTTTCTTTCTTTCTTTCCTTCTTTCTTTATTTTATTTTTCTGTAGTACTAGGGAATCAAACAAATCCAGGCATGTTCCACCACTGAGCTAGCCCTTGTTATTTTTATTTTGAGACAAAGTTTTGCTAGGTTGACCAGGCTGACCTCAAACTTGCGATCCTCCTGAGTAGGTGAGATTACAGGCCACTGCACCTGACATTACATAAATATTTTGTGTGTGTGGGTTTTTTTTTGGTGCCGGGGATCATTACATAAATATTTTAAAGAAGACAACCAAATGCAATGAAAGTGAAAGCAATATTAAAAAATCTGTAAAATTCCAAAATCTGAGATACTCAAGGAAATGTGCATATTCAGATGAGGTGATGATTGTGAAAGACGGTAGGTTAAATAAGTGCTCTACATCTGATTTGCTTCTTCCCTGTGAATTTTGAAGGACATACACACCCTAAGCAAAACAAAGCGGAACTCCAGTCTGTCAGCTAAATCTGGTCCATGCGCTGTGACTTTGCAACTTCTGATTTCTTCGGTTCTCAAACCTTATTTAGCAAGCACAGGCATAAAGGTAACCCAGAGATGTCCCTCCTCACCCAGAAACCTGAGACTGCTTCTCTGTCAAGCCTTCATTCTTCTACACGGAGTAAGAAAGGCATGGGAGACATGCAATTAGCAAACACAGGTTGATTACTTCTCCAAAAAGCCTGGGACCAGAAGTCTCAGATTTTGGAGTTTTCCAGATTTTGGAATACTATACTTGTAAACACTTCACTGGTTTAGCATCTTTAATCAGAAAAGCTCCTAAATCCCAAACTTTTGAGTCCAGATGACTCTCAAAGGTTTTGGGCTTTGAGCCAGGCATGGTGGCACACACTGGTAATCCCAGTTTTCTGGAAGGCTGAGCAGAAAGATCACCAGTTCAAGCCCAGCTTGGGTAATTTATTTTTTATTTTTTTATTTTTTTATTTTTTGGTACCGGGGATCGAACTCAGGTCCTTGCGCTTGTGCAGCAGGCAGCTAAACCGCTGAGCTAAATCCCCGGCCCTCAGCTTGGGTAATTTAATAACTTAGTGCAATCTTTTTGGACTTTGGGGCATTTCAGATTTGGGGGTTACAGATGCTGAATTCATAGAACATGAATGTACACCATCGTTGACACCCCTGCCCAGTTTACTGGCAGGTTGTTAGTGGCACAGGCTTCTTGCTTCCTCATAATTAGGCTATATTATACTAGGAGTCTGACTGAAGCCTATATGACTCATACGGGCATGTCAGATGGCAGGGCTGGACAAGCACAGCCTCCCCCCCACCCCGCCCCAGCCAGTGGCTGTAGCAGAGACCTAAGTCCTGGTCTGTGAAGCTGCAGGGCCCTGATTGAGATAACATGCAGCTGAGGACAGTGTGACTAAACTAAATTCCTTTCCCTGAATTATGGCCTCCCTCACTGATCTGATGGGTAGTCAGGACACGCTCTTGGTCTCCCTTTGTTTCTTCTGCAAGAATGCATTGCCTCCCTTTTACAGCCTTGCCTGTTAGGACTGCTATCACCAGATGCCTCACATATACCCTGCCCTATTTCTTCCCATGCTTGTAATCAATAAATACTGGAGGTCTTGGGTACCTTTTGTCTTTGCTGCCCAGATCAGCTCAGGTAATCCCAGATCCCCACTTTTTTTTGTACTGGGGATTGAACTCAGAACTTTGCTCTCGGCAGGCAGGTCTGGTGGCACTGAACTACATCCCTGGTCTTTTTTTTTTTCTGGTACTAGGGATCAAACTCAGGACCTTGTGCTTGTGTGGCAGGTGCAGTGCCACTGAGCTGAGCTAAGTCCCACCCCCCACCCCCATCCTGGCTTTCTGTTTAAGTCTTGTCTCCATGTCTTTCTTTCCTTTGCCTTGCATTGTATTGGCTTGCAGGAGACCAGGACTCTTAGCCAGGGCCTTGATAATGCACACATGTTGAAATACAACTACTTCTGTCCTCAGTACAGAAAGTCTACCACAGAAGAGGGAAAAGGGCATTCAAGAATAAGAGAGACCTAGGGTGGGGATTTAGCTCAGTGGTTTCACTGCCGGCTGCGCAAGCGCAAGGACCCGAGTTTGATCCCTGGTACCAAAAAAAAGAAAGAAAGAATAAGAGAGCCCAAAGATAATGTATCTACATTTGTACAAAGATTTAAACTATTTTACATCATTAAATTTCTATGATAATCCTCAAAAGAAGGAAATGAGGCTTCAAAAGGCCAAAGGTACTAAGGCATCCAGTATCAGAGCTGGGGGAGAGATTAGACCTCTACATGGAGTCAGAGGCTCTTTCTCCACTGCTTGCTCCCTCTGGGGTCCTGTAACCTCCACAGTCCACAGGTGGAGATTTCCTACTAGGCATCTGGGATCTCCCAGGGCATCCAGGATCTCCCAAGGCATCCAGGAGCCAGACCACAAGGTCAATCCTTGGCCAGCTGCATTTCCCTACCGTTGGTCACTTTAAAGGAAAAAGGGGTGAATTTGCATACAATTAAGTTAGGTATGAGATTGGGAAGACTGGCGCATAAAGATGCCTAGAAAACTATTAGGGTTCTGAAAAGTTCTCTGACATATTCTAACCCAGACAAGGCTGAGAACACCAAACTGGATGGAGTGTGGTGGGAGCATGCAGGAGTCCATACCCAGCGGTGCCACCAGCTTGTCAGAGCCACAGAGGTCCTTCTGCTGCTGACTCAGCAGCAGCCATTCCTCCTGGAGCAAGTACACTGTGATGTCATCAAACGTCACTGGAGCCTGCAAGGAAAAATGACACCTGTTGAGTACCACCTTCACCTGAGATTTGTCTTCCACAGAGAGTTCACATCCACTGAGCACCCCAGCTCTGGGAAGGACCCAGGTTGGGTGGGTAGAGGGATTGCCAACCTGCATGCATGCCCTCCACCCCATCTGTCTGACTGCCTGGGTGTAAAGCAAGGAAGGATGAGCTCTTTCTCCTATACGACAACAAAACCAAGCGTTGAAGGAGGCTAACTCAAGAATAGCTAGTCCTCTCCCTCCATGCCCTTAAACTGCTGCCCCACCCCACTCATGCTTCTCAGCCAGTGGCTCAGCAGGAGGACGGCAGGTTGAAGTCCAGCTTGGGCAATTAGCAATACAGTGAGATCATCTCAAAAGAAAAAGGGTTGGGGCTGTAACTCAGTGTGAGGTCTTGGGTACCATTCCCAGTACCGGGGCGGGGGCGGGGGGGGGAAAAACAGAAAGAAGTCAGATAAGGAGAGAATGGCAACAGAATTTAGAAAAGATGAAAAAACTGTAACAGCAGATTCAGGAAAATCAAATCCTCAGCCAACAGTGGGCAAGGCTGAGAAACAACCCAATTTATAGACTAAATTCTCAAAGGCTCAGGATGTGTCAGCACAGGAAACCTCTGGCCTTGGGGTAAGGCAGACAGGCTGACATAGTAAGGAATGAGGCAAAGCTAGTTCCGTGCAAATGGCTCCCCAGAGTCCCTTATCTAGAGCCTCTGAGGTGACAAGCTCTTCCCTGGGAGCTGCAGAGCTTCTAGCTGCCTTGTCCGGCCTCCACTGATAAACTGGACCACCAGACTCCCGAGAGGAGCTCTAATGAGGGACCAGAAAGACCAAAAGGGATGAGGCTGGGGGCTGAGGAATAGAGGTGAGGCGTGGAGAAGAAAACTTAAAGGCAATTATTAGCCCAGCATGGTGGCAGATGCCTATAATCCCAGCTCTCTGGGAAGCTGAGGCAGGAGGATCACAAGTTCAAGTCCAGCCTGGGCAACTCAGTGACTTAGTGAGACCCTGTCTTAAAAAAAAGGGCTTGCGGGCTGGGGATATAGTTTAATGTGAAGGCCGGCCCTGGGTTCAATCCCTGGTACCCAAAAAAGCAGCAGCAATGATCATTAATAGTCTCAGAGACAGGGATATTAAGGACATGAAAGAGAGTCATAAAACAATCCAAAAAACAAATAAAAAACATTGTTCTGTTTACTTTTATTTTTTTAAAAAATGTATTGGGGATTGAAACCCAATACATCCTCAGGCGCCCCCCTGAGACAGGGTCTCCCTAAATTGCCCAGGCTGGGCTCAAACTTGCCATCCTCCTCCCCTAGGCTTCCAGAGAGCTGGGATTACAGGTGTGTGCCACTATCTCCAGCTCTGTTCATTCTTTTTTGTGTGTGTGCCAGGGATTGAACTCAGGTCCTTGCGCTTGCCAGGCAGGCGTAACACCACTGAGCTAAATCCCCGGCCCTCTGTTTATTCCCCCTACCCCCACCCCCCCGTACTGGGGATCAAACTCAGGACCTTGCACTTGAGAGGCAGCCACAGTGCCACTGAGCTAAATTCCTGGCCCCCCTGTTTATTCTTTTTAATTGTAGATCACAAAAAAAGTATCACCTAGTCAAATAAATAAAAAATTATCAACAAAAACTAAATTCCCTACCTCAAAGAAAAATAACATTTTTGAGCCAGAGATTTAGCTCAGAGGCACTGTGCCTGCCTGGCAAGCACAATATCCTAAGTTTGATTCCTGGTACAAAAAAAAAAAATAAGTAACATTTTGGGAAATGGCAGCGTGCCATTTAAGATAGATGAAACACCTATTTTAATTTCAATAGATGCTTGAGAAAAACTATATGTTTTTAATCAATTTCTACTATAAATTCAAAAGCAATCTCATTATTTTTTTTCTTTTCTTTTCTTTTTTTGGTACTGGGGATTGAACTCAGAACCCTGTGCTTGCAAGGGAGGTACAGAGCCATTGAGCTAAATCCCCAGCCCAATTTGATTATTTTTCTTAGGCATTAATACCCATTCACTACAGAAAACTTAAGAGAATAAAACAAGTATTTTAAGGTCACCCATATTCTCAACACTGAAACAGACTTGCTATTAACATTTGCTAGATAATCTCCCAGTGTTTTGTGGCACTACACTGAGAAATGTACGCTTTAAATTACTGGGGTTCTATGGAAGGCAGGTCCCAGGGTGACTGCTGTACACCAGGACCACAGGGTGACCTGCTGTGTGAGGGACAGCCTAAAAACTTGTGGGCAGGGCCAACAGGCCTCCCACAAGTACCTTCCCACCAGAGTGAGCAGGCAGGGAGAAGACAGGCCAAGGAAGGTCACCTTGCTACACACAGTCTGGAGATCTGGATGAGAAGGATGTTTTCCCAGCAACAGTAATCACTCTAACACCCGCTTCCCTCTTAAACCACATTACAGCAAGAGCTTTCTGCTTTGGGTGAATGCAGTGTACAGAAACCCACAGATCTGCCTGATGAGAGGAACTTATCTGCGCAGAGTGAAGGGAGCATCTCTGGAAACTGTTAGTGGTTCCCACTGTCTATGGGGCAAAGCTCTCACTCTGCAGCCCAGAAGTCCCTTGGTCTGAACCCATACCTTACTCTGTTGTACCTGTAGTCTCTCCCCAGCTAGATTGGCAGCTCTGAAATCACCCCGCCTTGAGTCTCTCCTTTCTCCACACCCCGGCATTAGATCCCTCACTACCCATTTCCTCCCACTACTCGAGTCCTGTGCACATTCCACCTTTCACAAGGGATTTCCCAACCACCCAGCCCCAGCACTGCTCCTTCCTCAGCTAGGAAGACTTTATTTCCCTTTCTAGTGCCGGGCACTCGGGAAGCCAATGGCAACTGCCTTATTTTACACCCTTTCCAGCACCACCCTCTCTCCACCACATTGCACAGAAAGAATTTCATAGGCATTTAATTCGCTTTCATTCAACATACTTTTATTATTTACTTCTATGCATTTGTAGCATGTTGATCCAAAGAGATAAAAAGAAATTAAAATTAGGCAGACTCAAATCTATCAAGTGGTGACAGACAAGCATGATGTAAGTACAATACGGAACTGATTTCAAAGAAAAATGCTGGGTGTGGTGACGCATGCCTATTATCACAGGACTCTGGGAGGCTGAGGCAGGAGGACTACACAAGTTCAAGCTCAGCCTGGACAACTAGCAACTTAAGTGAGAATGTCTCAAAATTAAAAAAAGAAAGAAAGAAAAAGAAAAGAAGAGGTGGGGATGTAACTCAGTGCAAAGGCTGGAAAAAAGAAGAGAAGGGAGGAGAGATCACATTTACAGGAAAGACTAGAGACGGTTAGGATGCAGAGATGTTGAAGCAGTAAGTATGTACATAAGGAAGTAGAAATATTTCTCCTTTAACAACCGAGTTGAGGTCCTGTGACTAAGCTGTTAAATGAACTGGTCACTAAATGAGGAATTGTATATAGTATGTTCATTGCAATATTCAGAACAAAGAAATGGGCAAAGGAAACTCCAACCTGATGACTTTGCTTTATTTGCGAAACTTTTACATGTAATACTGTAATGTAGAAGAGCACATAAGACTATAGTACTGTACTGTACAGGACACCCAGCAAAAATTAGGACTATACTGCAGAAGAAGTCACAAGGCCACACAGCTGTTCACATTTCTGCAACATAAGCCTGAATGGTGGCTTGCAGGTCAGAATAGTCAAACAGGTGGGTTGTTATATGAGTAATGTCTGTACATAGAGACTTCTGTATATGGCCAAGAACATAGCTGCTCAGGAGGACACAGGAGATGCTATAGTGCCCTATGCCTTGCATCAAAAGGATTCCTGAATTTATTGCTTCAGTGCTATTTTATGAGCCATTCTCTCAAAAAATACTTCCTGTGAACCTATTAAAGATCAGGTGCTGATTTACTGTCCTAGCTGGGGATATTACACAGAATAAAGTCTACAAATATATAAATAAATGTGAGAATTTTGTATAGTGATCAGACCTGGAAAGAAAATAAAACAGGATAATGGGGGAAAGTATTTGACATCTATCCATTATTCCACCAATGACAGGCAAAATATTCCATATGCAATGTAATGTCCAAGACTTCTTTTAGTTAATAAATAGCACAAAACAGCACCTAAGGAAGATTCCAGTAATAGACCACACTACCACTTTAAGAGGATCCTCACCTTCTTGCTCAGAGTTAAAAATATCTGCATTCTACTGCAGGGGATTTAGCTCAGTGGTTCCAGCGCCTGCCTTGCAAGCACAAGGTCCCGAGTTTGATCCCTGGTACCAAAAAAAAAAAGATCTGCATTCTGTTCAGGCCTTCACTTTGTTACTCATCTACAATACATGTTGCACTGCCAGATGGTTTTGCAATAATTTTATTTCACTTCTGGTAAACATTCTCATTCCCCAGGGTAGAAAACAGATGTCCTTGGAAGGGTAAGCACCTTTTGGTGACTCTCCACCATCAAGATTAGAATCAAGGGTGAAATATCCAGTCCCCAGAGTTTTCAGTTAGAGATCAGACCCAAAAAGGACATCAAATTCTTTTCCCAGCTCCCAAAATGTTCATATCCTCTCTTCTCCTGTTAAAGGATAATGAACAGAAAATCAACCTAAACTCATTAATTCCAATCTTTTGGGGGCTTTTTTGGTACCGGGGATTGAACTCAGGATCTTTGCACTTGTGAGGCAGGTGCAATGCCACTGAACTAAATCTCCAGCCCAATTCCAATCTTGATGCCAATTTTTCCTTCCTTCTAAAATGGGATCTCACAGCCCAGGCTGATCGCAAACTCCAGGGCTCAAGTGATCCTCCTGCCTCAGCCTCTTAAGTGCTGGCATGTGCCATCATGCCTGTTTTGCCTATTTTTCTTATAATCCATCTTCCCCCTACCTTTTTCTCCTGCTCATCCAAATTCAGGTTCAACGTAATGTGGGGATATTACCTAAAGGTAGGGGCCATTTCATTTACTTCTTTGTATTCCCACAGTGCTTAACATAAGGCTGACACATAGTTTGCTGTCAATCTTTCTGTAGGTCCTGTTGAGCTTTATGGTCTTGGCCTGGGTATTCTGTAGGTTGTTTGTCTGGAAAATGCATCACTGCAGCTTGTGGAGGGAAGAGAGGATGCAAGAAATGCTTAAGCAAGAACAACTGCTTTTGTAAATCAGAGGCCATCCCAGGAAAAACTATGGCACCAGATGTGGGACAACCTTTATGGTATCCAAGTGAATGAGCACTGCAGGAGAGCTCCTTAAGAGCCATGGTCCATTCCTTTTTATTCTTATATTTCCAGCATTGTGCTAAAGGCAAATCACAAAGCACAAATGTTTATAAAATGGACAACCCTTTTTTTTGAGACTCAATAAGTACATGAAAATGTTTTTGTGAGAATTCCTTTTATGCCACAGCATAAATACTCTACAAGCATTAGCTGAAAGGGCTGGAGAGGCAGCTTAGTGGTAGAACATTTTCGCGACCCTGGATCCCCAGTTTAACCTCTCATACCAAAAAAGAATCGGCTGCCACAAACATCCAGAAAGATCTTAATCCCAAGAGGTTCCCACTGCCTCCACATTAATGTGCCTACAAGCACAGGAGTCTCTGCTGATGTTGCCTAGAGCTCCAACGACCCTGCGCAACCATTTTTAACTACTCCTTTCCCCATCTCATCTTCCAACTCAAAACCTCTTCTTGTACACAGTCTGAAGCAAATTTGCAGAATATGCTTCGAAGCAATGCCAGATGCTTCTGCAAAGTGCAGAACCCAGAAACAGAAGTGGGCAAGAAATAAGCTGGTGCCTTCTCTTTTTCTTTCTAGCCCTGTCTTGGAAAGGGGGACGTAGGCAGGGCTAGACTTTTACCCCTCCTCTGATCCTACCCTTTGGCTTCCAGACTCAAAGCCTTAGAACAGGCTAGGCCTCCTCAAAACCATTACCACCAAACGACTACGGTGGTAGCGGGGAACCTGGAACCGCTACAGTGGGTGGGTCCCGCTACAGTGGGTGGGTCCCGCTACAGTGGGTGGGTCCCGCTACAGTGGGTGGGTCCCCCACCCCGGCAACAGCAGGCAGCCCCTGTCCGGAGGGCAAGGCGGGGACAAGCAGGGCAGGGAGGATGATGCCAAACCCAGGGCGTCGGCGGGCGGGCGAGCCCTTTTCTGCAAGGCTGGGTCAGCTACGAGCCCTCGCCCGCTGCGCTTCGCCTAGCCCGAGCCCCGGTTGGGGATCCGCGGGAGGGGCGTGGACCGCCCCTGGGCCCTTCCAGTCCTACCTTCCCCGATTCCCTGCGTTCCATGGCCCCACTTTCGCGGCCCGTGCTGCCCCTCCCCCCGCGGCCTGGCCTGAGGGTGCTGCCGCCGCGACCCACTGGGGGACCTGGGCTCCCGGAGGAGAGGGCGCCCAGGCGGGCAGGGAGCGCGGCCGGGAGCTTCACTCTCGCGTACGTCGGGGGGTAGTAATACTCTCCCAGCGCGCAGAGGCGCTGAGCTGGGACTAGTGTCGTGCAAGCGAGCAGCTTTATGGCAGCCACCTCCCCGAGGCCATGAGGCATAACGGGAAGCGTAGTCCAATCTGTGAAAGAGGCTCTCGAAGCTGCTATTGGCTCCCAAAATGCATGGCTCTGATTGGACGCCAAGCCGTCCGTTTTCTGCCCTTCCTGCCTTCATTCCCAGATAGTTACTAGGCAACGTCCCGGAGGGCCTTCTCTCGACTCCGCTGTAAGGGCAGGGCACCTTGATTGGTTTGCTCCAACGTCAACCTCGAAGGCTCTAGGTTTTGTTTAACTAAGGAGGGGTATGCTTTTTCTTACATTTGTGTTTAAAAGCATTATCATTGCTTACCTGCCATGTGTCAGGCACTGTGCTAGGGTTGGGGAGTACGCAGTTTAATGAGACAAAGCCCTTACCTTCAAGGAACTCATAGTTTATTGGAGGGGAAAAAGGAAAAAACCCAGAACATTACAAAATAGAAGTGCAGTGAAAGAGGTTAAGTACAAGACTCCAGTAAAACACCCTCTGTCTTCTTAGAGTGAGGTGGTGGGGAGATATGGGGTGGTTAGTCAAGGATTCCTGAGGAAATGGTGCCTGAACTGAATTGAGAGATGGGAATTAGCCAGGTAAAGGAGGTGCTATGGACTGAATTGTGTCCCCTCCAAATTCATATGTTGAAGTTCCAACACGATGGCATTTGGAGGTGGAGCCTTTGGGAAGTAATTGGGTTTAGAAGGCGGGGGGGGGGGGGGTCCTTCGGATAGGATTAGCGCCTTTAAGAGAAGAGACATCAAGCCAGGGATTTAGCTCAGTGATTCTGCCGCCTACCTTGCAAGCGCAAGGTCCCGAGTTCAATCCCGGAAGAGAAGAGACATCAGAGAGCATTCTTTTTCTCCACCAAATGAGGACACGGTGAGAAGGTGGACTATAATCTGGTAACAATAGGAGAGTTAAGGTAAGGTATTAGAATTATCTGAGGACTTGGATTTTCTAGGTATTGTGAGAAGGATTTAAGGTTATAAGAAATCAGAGATGCTCTTCCATGCTAGTCAAGAAAGATCTAAGCACATCTAAGGATGATGGATTTAGAGAATGGAAGGACCCATATGCTGGAGGACCATGATAAAGACACCCAAGAAGGGTGTAGATAACCAGATGGGACCTGGAAGGGTAGGAAAATCAGAGAGGCAAAAAGGATTTGCCTGAAAGAATGGTTTGAAATTGAATATGCTCAGTGGTAGCCCTTTCAGGAATCTCACTGATTTGGGATGACGGAGTGCCCATTTAGGGCTTTACAACAATTCAAGTCCCAATACTCACCCAAGAATCCCTGTACTGTGTCCAACTCCTATTAATTAGAGAGTCTCTTCATTTCTCCCTTATATTTTTATCCCTTTGTAAAATAATAGCTCTTCCTGGATGGCACTGACATTTTAGGGGTGTCTGAGACATATGAGGGAGCAGGGGGTAATACATAGTATCACTGAGCACCACAGAAGGAGTGTCTGGCCTGGCTCCCATCCTCCCCATCTAGGAAGTACAGGCTGAGACAAGGACATGGTCCTGGGAAGCGATCCCATAGGGCAGTGCAGTCACACTAAAGAAGGGAAGCAGAGAAGAGGGAAAAACTGATTTAAGAGTGCATTTTAGAGATCTTTGCTGTAGGCACTAGGGGTTTGCTTGCACTTATGAGAATTGTATAAAATGTTGCCCAGGATCATCTGTCTGAGCAGTGGGAGGCTGGTGCATTTATCTGCAGCTCTCATTTCCTGTGGTTGAGGGTGTCTCCAGATGTGTTAATTATATCACATCCTTGCATTTGTACTTCTGGCCATGCTTGTGCAAAGGCCAAGTGGACTCTTTGTGTCAAAACAAAACAAAACACAACACCCTGGGCAGAAAGCAAAAGAAACTTGAAGAGGGTCTATAAAGGAAAAAAAAAAAAATGTTCAGCATCATTCGTCATTGACATTGAAGAAATACAAATCAAAATGAAATAAATCTGATGCAGAAAGTTAAATATCGTATGATTTCTCTTATATGAGAAACAAAGTATAAATAAATTAAAGAGCAAAATTAAAGATAAGAGGAAACAGGGAGATAAACCTTTTGCAAATTGGAAGGTGATCTAGAGATGAAAGAAGGAGGGAGGGAAAGGGAAGTAAAAATGGTTAAGATGTGATATGAACACGAATGTATCCATTTATGTATCACAAACATATTAATAAGGAAATATAAATCAAAATCTCAATGAGGCACTATTTTACATCCACTAATTTTTTTTTTTTTTTTTACAAAGACGAAAACAAGTGTTGATGGGGACATGGAGAAATTAAAACCTTTGTGCATTACTAGTGAGAATGCAAAATGGTACAGCTGCTATGGAAACCAGTTTGGCAGTTTCTTTAAAAAGTTATGTATAGGGTTGGGGGTTTAGCTGAGTGGTGCCACCGCCTGCCTCAAAAGCGCAAGGTCCAGAGTTTGGTACCTGGTACCAAAAAAAAAAAAAATGTATAAACTTATTATAGGACCCAGCAATTCCATTCCTAGGTGTAATATACCCAAAAGAAATGAAAATATATGTCCAGAGAAAGACCTGTGCAAAAATGTTTATAATAGCTTTATTCATAATAGACAGAAAGAAAAAGAAAAAAGAAAAGGAGAAGGAAAACAAAAGGAGAAACAACCTGAATGTCCATCATCCAGGCTATGGGTAGACAAAGTGTGGTATAGTTAGCAACAGAAAGGAACAAGCTAATATTATATGCTATAATATGAATGAACCTCAAAATTATCAGCTTAATTACATGAAATGTCCATAAAAGGCAAATCTACTGTAATGAAAAGCACTTAGTGGTTGCCTGGAGCTGGAGATGGAAAAGATTGACTACAAATGGGCATGAAATGATGAAAATGTTCTAAAATTGAATTGCAGTGATGTTTGTACAATTTTATTTACTTTCTATAAAAGTCATTGAAGTGTAAACTTAAAATGCGTATATTTCTTACTATGTGAATTATACTTCAGTGAGATTATTGTACAAAGGAGAAGCAGACCTCAGTCTGAGCTTCTGTGAATGTCTCCATCACACTGCAGGTGAAGTTCCACTGGGTAAGGGTATGACCAGGACACGAGATATGTCCAGCACAAGAGATCTTTAGACTTTACATTCACCCCTGTCTGGATACAGAGGAGGAAACCGAGGTCCAATGATGGGAAGTGACTAGACCAGGTCCCCCAGCCACGAAGCCCATGGTGAATCCATGGCGGATTCAGAGAGTTCCCGAGGGGATGAAGTCCTCGCAGTCCAGATAGGCCCCAGACCCACCCTTTCTCCCTTCCTCTGCTGGGCCGCAGGACAGAGACCGTGCACGCACAGAGTGGCTGCAGTCACTTTATTTGGGACATGATAATGCCAGGCATGGATTTCGGGTCTGGGACAGGTGGGTGGGTACTGGAGGGTCTGATCAGTGTGAAGAGCCCTGTGGTCACAGAAGGACAGCCATGGATACATCCAGCGGAGCCTGTCAGCGCTCGGAGAAATCACCTCCTGAGGGACGAGTGAGGGGGCGATCAGCTGACAAGACAGGCCCGGCGGTCAGGCCTGGCGGGGACCGAGGGACTGAGGAGCAGAGGAGGCGAGGCAGATCTGCCAGAGAAGCCGAGAGCCGGTGCAAGCTCTCCCGCTGCTCCCCCCTACGGCATCCACACCTTCCTTCGGTTGCTCCCTCACCTGCCACGCGGGGTGACCTCGTCGATCCTAACCAGATACTTCACAAGGCTGCTCCCCCCGCTCTCCCCCCTTCCCGTCCTCGCCCCAAGCTTGAGCAGAAACGCCAGCCCCGTTTAAAAGATGAGGTCCCGGGGGTGGGGTGGGGGATGCTCAGCAAGGAAACAGGTGAGCTGGGATTTGAACCAGATATAATATATTCCAAACGCCCAAGTTTATGTACGATTGGAGAAGAACAGAACGCTGAGGAGAAAGGATTGAACTGAAAGGATTCAAGGAAGAGCGGGGGGAGGGAGCTTTGCGTTCGTTCCTGATGTGCCCACCAGAGGGTCCCGCCCAGGCTGCTCCGGAGCCCCGGCTCCTCCCAGAGCCCCACACTCCCAGGTCCCGCCTAGGCCCCGCCTCGATCCCGCCTTCTATAAAGCACCACCCCCCCCCGCCCAATCAGGCCCCGCCCTCCGCGGAGCCCCTCCCCTGGAACGCCCTCGCAGGCCGCGCCCCTCGGAGAAGCCCGGCCCCATTCTGGCCCAGACCCACCCTGGCAGGCACTGCACTGGCAGCTGTGGATCACCGGCAGCACCGCGGGCGGGCGGCGTGGCCATCGGGACGGCGCAGGTGCAGGATCCTCATGGGGCTGTCGGGGTCCAGGCGGTAGCTGCAGTAGTCGCACTGGCTCTGCAGGTAGGGTTCCTGAGCGAGAGGGATGGGTGAACTGGGGTTTCCCGCCTTCCTTTGAGGGGGCAGCACTAGATCCCAATGGTCACGGCCAAGCAGTCTAACTGGGCCGAGGGAGGAAGGTGTCATCACCCAGTCTCCTTCCCCAGGAAACCCACCTTCTTGACTCCAGCCCCTACCCACCTACCCATCTGAATGCCCAGCAACTTGCAGGTTAAATGAAATGCAGTGGGTGGGGACACGGCTTCCTCCCCTGGGTCTTACCAACTAGTTAATGAGATATTAATAGTACATAAAACTGCACAGTTCTGGTCCTAAGTGCAGTGCGCTCTCTTTCCGGGGCAAGCCCCTAGGGCCCTGTGATTGTAGAGCTCCTCTTACAAGTCTCACAGAGCACTTGAGTTAGTTTCATCTCTGATTATATCTCTAATTCTCCTTGGAAACAGGTAATACACTCACACAATGCCAAATTTAAAAACTACATACAAAACTTATTTGCTCATATCTCCTATCTGCTTTCCTTCCTCCCTGTTTTAAACATTGCCAAGGTGATTTGGGAAGGCATGGGGAGGGCAGTGTCTCTGGAGCCCATGTAGAAACCACCTGTGTCTTCCAGGCCTGGAAAAAGCCAGGTGGGCAGAGGCAGAAGGAATGGCTTCAGAGTAATGGTGCTCTGGGAGAGGGGGCTCTGGGGCTGGGGCCAGGGCTCCATCCCAAGATGCTGGCAGCACAAATCACAGCTTTCCTGGCTTAGGATTAAGAGATTCAGGGGGGCTACTGAGGCTATCTGAAGATCCTAAGGCGGAGTTGGGCTTGGCTTCTGGGAGAGCAAGCATGGAGACTCTAGGCCTCTGGACCTCTAGGTCAGGTGTGCACCTTGCTAGGGGCCACCCCAGCACCCTCTCGCCCTCAGTGTGATGGCTCTGGCTTCACAGTCGGCCTCCCTCCTCTGTACCTTTCTCTATGAGGTGCACAGTGGCCCAGAGGCATGCTCTGGGCATGGTCAAGGCCAGAGTGGGTGTAACCACCACCCTGGTGCAAGGCGCTGACCATCCATAGCCCAGGTCTGAGCACTAGCTCTATGGGAGTGGACCATGTCCCTCCTGTCCTCTGGGCTTTGCCCAGGTCCCAGGCTGGCCCCTGTGGGCCTGAAAGCAGCCCCTGGCTCACCTCAGCCATAACATTGGTGCTGGGTGGGCAGTGGCCACTGCAGTAGCTCACTTCTACCTGGTCCAGGTGGCAGGGTCCCTTGGTGAGGTTGCAAAGCTCAGTGAGGTGCCGGCAGGAGGCTGGCTGCTCCTCTGAGGAGGGAGAGGCAGGTGCTGTAGCAAGAGGTGGGGTAAGGCAAAGGGGAAGGCTGTGACTGAGCACGCCCCAGGCAGGGAGGGACACGTGGGGGACAGAGCCCGGGACCCTGGAGCATGTAGGGTGGGGTGCCAACCGCTATGATGCAGCCCTGGGTCTTCACACTCATTCTGGGGTGGGGAAGGTGGGCACACGGCAGGCTGAAAAGGTGGTTGGGGAGAAGGGTCCAGACCAAGGCACCCAAGTGCCCTCCATACCGAGAATCTCCCGGCGGCATGTGGGACAACAGCTCTCTGGCTCCTGCACCAGCACCTCACCCTGCAGAGGGAGCAGTCCCAGACCCAGTCACTAGCAACCTCACACTGCCTGTGAGACCCTCAGCCCGGCCTCAGAAGAGGACCCCAGGAAGGAAGCGGGGAGACACCTGAGAGGGTGGTCGGGCCATGAGGGTTACCTGAGTACAGGTGAGGCGAGGGCGGAGCTGGGTACAGATGCTTGTCCCTCTCGGGCAGTGGCAGCTGTCACAGCCCTCCTGCCATTCGGACCCGGGCTGGGGACGGGGCGGGAGAGCCTCCTCTTGGTCCTCTCCCCATATTCCATGATAGTGTCCCCATCCCCAGCCCAGCCCAGCCCAGGAGCACCCAGCCAGAGCAATGGACTAGGACTTTCATAGGCAACAGAAGTCTCAGGAGGGCCAAGGAGGGTTTGGGCAAGAACAGGGAGCCCAACCCAAAACGGGACACTGTCCCTGGGGTGGCCCAGTCCCAGCCACTGCAGCAGAGCAGTTGTAGAATGATTCAGTAGTGGGAGGCCTGGGATCATGAAGGAGTGGTGGCAGCAGAGGGGAACGTAGTGTCTCACCAGGTGGGGACGCCCGAGATGCCAGCACTCGCAGTGCTCTGCAGGGAGGCAGGGGCCCGCCTGGCTGCGGAAGTGTCCTTGCTGGCATATGCAGCCTGGGCCCTGTGCCACACTGCAGTTGCTCTGAGCCTCTGTGGCATTTGTCTCCAGGCATGTCTGCTCGCAGGCCCCCAGCTCCCCCAGAGCCACCTGGTGCCACCTTTCCCCAAGGGAACATTCTGCAGGGAAGACCATCCGCTCCACTCTTGGCCAGCCCGGGATCCAGGCTCAGTTCCTCACCCTACTGGGCACCCCCAGGACCCTCTTCCTCTTCCCATGCCACCCACTCCTATCTCCCACCTCCTCAGATAGCTGTGCCCAGGCCAGGTCTCACCCCTGACCAGTGCTGTCCCCCCATCTCTGCCTTCTCAGGACCAATGTCACATCCCATGGGTGATGTCTGCTTATGAGAGACCCAGATGTGATCTCTGGTCTCCACCCTCACCCAAGAGGCTGGGAATGCCGGGAGGCTGGCCATGAATCCACAGAGCCAGTGCGCAGAGCTGGGCACAGGGCAAACACCCCAGCCCTAGGCTATGCCAGGCCAGCTCCTCATTTCTGCTAATGCCTCTGGACCTCAGTTTCCTCATCAGCAGGAAAGAGCCTTCCACGTCCTGGCCTCCTGCATTCCTTGCTCAGCTCGTGAACCAAGAGCCCATGGAGCATTGGGAAGGGAGTGGTGGGCCTCCAGGCAGCGAGGGGTCCAAGTGGGCAGAGAGGGGCTTCCTGAAGGAGGCAGCTTGGCCTCGGTGGTGGGCAGAGTTCCTCTCCCCTGCTCAGGCCAGCCTGGCCTCAGCTTTGGAGGGGCACAGACAGCCAATCTTACCCGGGCAGTCAGCAAGGGAGGAGCTGAAGGTGCACCTTGGCAGACACTGAGGAGACAGAAGGGCCACTCAGAGGCCTCCTGTGACCCCTCTTTTTCTCAGGAGCCCTCCCCACCGCCCAGGCACTCACCAGTGGGTACAGTTCTGGGTGAGCACGGTCCCTGGGGGCAGCTCCTGAGCCAGCTCTTCAGGGCTCAGACTGAGCCCCCAGGGCAAGGAGAGCTGGGTACAGGGGCAGGCGGCAGGGGGCACACATATGCCATTGTGCAGCAGCTGACCCCAGCCTCCCCACCCACCTACTACCCTCACTCGGGAGTTGGAACCCTACAGTGGTACCCACCTGCCCTTCAGGGCAGCCACAGCCAGGCTGGCAGGGTTCCTGCACACAGATAGTGCCAGGTTGCAGGTGCGAGCAGAGCCTTGGGCAAGAGGTGGCACAGGTGCTGAGCACCTGCCCAGGAGGGCACTCTGGGGAGCACAGAGATAGTGAAGAGGAAGCTGCCCAGAAAGAGGCTGCCTCTGTCTGTCCACTGTCCCCAAGTCCCATGCCCGCAGCTAGGGCAGGCCTGGGCCCAGTGGCAATGGAGAACACACACCAGGACAGTGCTGCAGGCTACACTCTTGCTGTTGCTTCCTGTCCTGGGCCTGACATGGTGCTGCCCCAGGATGCCCCTTGCAGCTCCGAAGGCGTTCCGAGATGCCCCCACCACACACAGCTGAGCATCTGCTCCAGGCTGACCAAGGTCCCAGGAGTGGGCACTCAAGGTGTTGGCATGCCAGAGACCCACTGATGCAGGTGTTGTGGACAAGGGTGTACAGCCAGGCCTCAGGCGCCAGTCAGGTGCATAGAAGTGTGGTGGGAAGGGGGCCCATAATCTTGGCTCACCCGTAACCCCTGGCCCAGGTCACCACCATGGCATCTTACCAGTTGTGGCAGTCCAGCTGCACCACCTGGGCCGGGGCCAGCTCCCATGAAGCATTGGCACTGGGAAGGCCTCAGCGGCAGGAGGTGATGGGCATGCAGCGCCCATCCTGCACCAGCTGGCCTAGGGGACAGCGGCAGCCTAGGGGTGGAGGTGAGAAGGACAAACAAGATTCAGCACTTGGGCAAGGTGTACGGGATGGGTCCCTCTGGCAGCCAGAGCAGGTACAAAGCCTGATCTCCACAATCTCTCCCCCTGCCCACGCATGAGGTGCCACTCATATGGGCGTCACCCAGTAGCCCTTATGGCACCTGTGAGCATTCTCCCTGCTACAGCAGGTCCTCACATTGTCTCCCAGGAGGCAGGGAAAAGGGCCTGGGTGTCCCCAGAAGCCCCAGGCCAGGCTATCGTGTGCCTGGTTACCTGGGTGGCAGGGTCCCTGCAGACACTGCACATGGTCCCAGAGGTCGATACAGCTGCGAGGAAGGGCACTGGTTGGCACAGTCCAGGGTGAGCATGGTGCCCTGGGCCTCACAGCTCTCTCCTGCAATCCAGAAGGTCGGAGTCTGTGTTGGGGACATGGTGGGCCCCAGGGCAATGCCCTTCTGCCACTGCACACCCCCTTCAGGTGCCATTTGCAATGTTCCAGTCCCAGACCTCCTATGGGTGCTGGGATGTGGTTACCGGGGTAGGACTCCACTTTGCAGCTCTCGGTCTGAGCCCATGGTCCTTGGCAAGCTCTTGAAAGGGGGCTCCCTGCCTTTCTCCAGCACAGCCGGAATCCCCCTCTGCAGGGGACCTGGCAGGGGCTCCAGGGTTCCCAAGCACTCCACTGGCGTGGGTCTGGGGAAAACAAGCTGGAGGTCAGTGCTTAGACTCCATTTGGTCAAGCCCCACCCCCTGCATCCCAGGCCTCCTGCTGCCGGCCAGCCTCTGGCCCTCCTTATTACCAGGGCAGGCCTCAGGGTCAGGGCAGAGGCGTTGCTGGCTGAGGGGTGCGGTACACAGACGAGGGTCTCCAGCCCAGGGCCACCCGGTTGCAGGGTCCAGACAGAGGCGGTGGCGATATTGCTCTGAAGCCAGCGGAGGGGCCAGGCCAAGGTTGGAGAGAAGCCTGCTGTGTCCAGAGGCCAGCGCTCTCCAGAGTGGCCCTGGAGGCGGGGGCCAGGGTGCTTCGGGGCAAGCAGGGCCCACAGGGTGACCGCTCGGACCAGTCGCTCAGAGGCAGAAGACCTAGGAGAGAAGGTTGTTGGTGCCCTTCCCAGGGTCCCCGAGACCCTAGGGGGCAAGCAGGAGGGCTGGGGATTGTGACCAGGAAGGGTAAGAAGTAGAAAAGGCTGAGGGAGATGTGGGGGCAGCATAGGGTCTGCTTTGTCTGGGGACGTCCTGGTTTCATCTCTGAAAGTCCCACATCCTGGAAACCCACAGCTCTGGCCCCCGGGGGCAGATGTCCCCCTAAGCCGTTGTTACCTTCACAGCCCTGGCTCATGCATCGCAGCTCTCCTCATTGGCACTCACTGTGGAGGGGACATCAGGGTGGGCTCCAGGAGAGGCAGGACCCAGCCCAGGACCCGGGGAGGGCGCCTGTATGGCATAGCCTGAGCTTTGGGTAGATGGGGGCAATGTGAGGGAGCTGCAGGGTCTGGCACTGGGGGTCACTGCCCACTGACGGGGCTGACCTCAGGGGCTCTGCTTGGCCTTCTCTGCCAGGGTCAGGCTGCGCCCCCGGGGAGGGCTGACCTGCTCCCTGCCCTCAGCCTCCTGCTTCCCCTTCCCTGCCACTCACCATTCCTTACAGCCCAGCTGCGGATGTTCCCCGGGGCCCAGGGACACCCCACTTCCCTCTCCTGAGCCGTGCTGGCAGTCACACTGCTCTGGGGGGATGCAGCCCCCTGCCTGCTCCAGCAGCCCCTGGGTGGAAGAAGGGAGGAGTCAGGGCTGTGCAGAGGTCACTGCCACCCCGACACCCTGCACGGTGCTGGCCTGCAGTGGTGCACATGTGTAATGCCGAGCAGACGACTGGGCAGACCGCCATCTGGGAGAGCACTCCCTTTCCTTTGAGAGTCCCCCCAGCTCCAGCCTTCACCTTGGGACAGTAGCAACCAGGCTGGCAGGGCAGCAGGTCCTGACAGAGCTGAAGGCTCTGGTGTGTGGCCCAGAGCCCAGCACAGGCAGAGCCGCAGGCCTGGAACTCAAAGGGAGGTGTGCAGCTGTCCTCTGTGGGACGGAAGACAGGGTAGTGGGGGACGGCCCGACACCCCCCACCAGAGCACCTACTGCACGGCCTCACTGAGGTCCCTTGAGGTCACCTGGTGAGACCGCAAGTCTGCCCCCAGGCACTGTCCCCAACATGGCACCCACTCAGCCCCTGTGTGCCCCCAGGAATACACTTTTAAATTTAAGTACACACGGCATGTCTTGATCAGCCCTCGTCAAAGGGACAAAGCCACTATAGGGCTGCCTGCTGCCATGTGGGTAAGTCGTGAGCAGCTGTGAGAAGAGGCACTGGGCGCAGTAACTGGGTGCAGAGGCAGGGACCAGGGCAGGGGAAGGCCACCCCCTGAGGGGGCTGGGGGCTCGGGTCTGCATGAAGGCACAGCTGCTGCCTGGCTCCTGGCTCCTGGGCCTCACCTGAGCAGTTGACGATGGGGCATGGCCGGAAGTGGCCATCCAGCCGTGTGCAGGGGGGGTCCCTTGGCAGCTTGGCCGGGTGTTGGTTGCTGGTGGCGATAGCACTGCTGCACAGGCACCTGGCAGGAGCAGCGTGTCCAGCTGCTCCAGCCACTCCACACATGCTCCCCTGGGGATAGGGTGGGGACGTCAGCAGGGTCCCCCCTTCCCCCTGGCCTCTGCCCCACGCTCTCCCCTCTCATCCCTGCCCTAGCCAGGACCCTGCACAGGAGAAACATTAAAGGGAACCAAGGATTCAGAAAGGCCTATTGGCTAGACTCCCCCAACCCGGCATGGAAGACACTGTGAAGGCCTCTGAAGGGAAGAGGTGACAGGAGGAGAGAGACAAAGTGTCAGGGGACAGAGTAAGGCTGGGCAAACATTATTCTCTGAATTGCCCAATGTAGGGGAATAGGGGAGGGGGCTCGGCCTCCCAGGTCCACGTACCCAGGCAGGGCCCGGGTAGCAGGCCTGCGTGTCCAGGTGTGTGAAGGTGCCATTGCACATGGGTTCAGCCTCAGCTACCAGGCAGGGGCAGGACCCGGAGCGGGAGGACAGGCCCGGGCCACAGGTGTGAGAACAGGGCCCCCATGGAGCCCAGGAGCAGGTGTCCAGCAACTGCAGGCATGGCTGCTGCCCGCAGTGCTGAGTCTGGGTGTCGGAGGCCGGGCAGGGTGGCCCCTTGTGGTGAGGGGCCGACACTATGCAGGTCCGGGGGCGGACCTGGTGTCCACCTCCACAGGAGACGGAGCAGGCGGACCAAGGAGACCACAGCATCCAGCCACCGGGCACTGTGGGAGGGCACAGGTGAAACTGGAGGAGTGGGGGTGTCAGGTAGGAGGAAGACTCAGGAGCTGGGGTCAGGATCTTCATGCACAAGGGTGGCAGTGGGACGGTGCGAGGGCAAAGCAGGACCCAGAGCAGATGGCCTGTAAGGCAGGGCCTAGTAGGGTAGGCAAAGGTGGGGGTCAGGATGAAATCCAGACCTGCATACTCGATGTTGTCACAGATCACGCCTTCCGCCTTCCGGAGTGCAGGAGCTGAGGGAGGAGCCCAGACTCAGGAAGCTGTTCTCCAGCTAGAGAGTCTGCTCACCCTTCCCTGTCCTGCACTCACCACTGCTGACGCTCTCCCTGCAGCCAACTGTCCCCCAGGCTGCGGGGGTGGGCACCCTGCAGGCACAGGGGCTGTGGGCACGGCTGGCTCTGGGACTGCTCCTCTCGGCATTCTGGGGCCCACGAGCCCGACGTGGAGGACCTGAATAATGGGGCCAGGAGGTGAGGAGCAGCCCAGGCCCTTATACTCCAGGGGAAACTCAGGGTGGGCCCGGGGTGGCGAAGGGAAGGCCTGGATGACCTGTGACAAAGCTGGGCCAGGACACTGGGAGAGCAGGGGCTCCTGTGTCAGAGAGCGGAACACACCAGGTAGAGGGGCCCCTGAGTGGAAAGGGGGCATCTCGCCTCACCCACCCCCATACTGGAAGCGGCTCTGCTATCCCCTGGGCCCACACGAGTGGCTGCAGGGACTCCAGGCTGACCAGCGGCTCCAGGTACAGTGGGTAGGTGGTGGGCAGGGCAAGGTTGTGCAGGAGAGGTGTCCAGCCTGGCAGGAGCAGCTGTTGCAGGCATCTTGGTGCTTGCTCCCTGGGGCCCAGCTGTGGCCCTGGGCATCTGTGCACTCACAGTGCCCGAGTGACATGCACCTGCCATCCTGCTCCAGGGACCCTGCAGGGAGGTGGCCTGTGAAGGTTGCTGCTGACAGCACTGGGCCCACCTGCCATTCTGCTGAGCCCCCCATGACCTGGAAGGGTCTGCGGCACACACCCTCAGGGCACCGGCAGCCTTGCTGGCAGGCCTGGTGGTCCTCACACACCACTCCATCCTGCAGGTCTGAGCAACGGCGGGGGCAGCGGTTGGCAAGTTGACCAGTTCCATGCCTGCTGGGCAGCCCTCCTCTAAGCAGAGGAGGCTGGCGTCAGGCATGAGGCTCTGATGCCTACCTCCGAGGGCCTCAGTTTTCTCAACTGGCCAGGGAAATAGCAGCCCGTCTCCCTCTATGCCCTGGATGGAGTGAGAGGTGGGGGTGGCTGTTGCCACTGTCATACCACAGGGCATGGGATTGCAGACCCGGGTGTGATGCCTCTCTCCCGCACAGGGGGCACCCCCATTTTTGGGTGGGGGGCTCAAGTAGCTCCGGCTCCTCAGAGATCAGCCCCCTCCGCAGCTCCGGTCACACCAAGACCAGGGGCTCCAGCATGACCAGCCCCCCGGCACTGTGTCAGAAAGAACAGCTCTGTAGGGTCAGCTCGGGCAGAGGCTCACGTGCCCTGTGAGCCTCAGCCTGGATCTGGCAGGAGAGATGGATGTGGCACCCTTGGGCAGGCGGGGTGCCTGGGAAGAGGGAGATGCTGGGGCCTCCCAGGGGCAGGCCAGGGGAGGGGCTGGGGTGCAGCCCAGTCCTCCCAGCCCACCTCACCTGGGCAGGCACGCAGGTTGCAGAAGTGGTGCTCCTGGTAGGCAGTAAGGATGTCTGAGCACCAGTGTCCTCCGGGCCTAGGGGGACGGTACGCTTGAAGGTGACGCTGCTAGCCCACCCCGCAACTGCGGGAGCATGGCTCCCATGGGGCCCAGGGGGTCCAGGAACAGTTCCCTGGCCCACAGCCAGGGCCGGAGCACAGAGGCAGCTTTGCAGAACAAAGCAGAGCTGGGGCTGCATGGTTGACCCAGTCCTCTGCCCCAGCTGGGGCCTCATCCAGATCCTCCCTTCTGGTCCAGATCTGACACTGACAGTTGTGTGGCTTTGGCTCTGGCCTCAGTATCCCTTTTCCTCATGGCAGACAGTAGTCCCTGACACACAGGGCTGCTGGTCGGCTGAGACTCAGCCCTGCGGGGGTGTTAGGCACATATGAAGTATGATCCAAAAATACAGCGAACATTTAATTTAAAAAAAAAATTACAGTAAAAAACACATTGCCATTAACCCCCCTCAAAATATTCCCTCTCACTTTAAACACATTTATCCAGTTACTCTGGCCACTTTCTGAAGCAGCTCTGGAAGTCCTCTTCCATGAGTGTCTTTAGCTGCACTGCTGTGACTGCCTCAATGTCTTGAATCAATTCAAAATGCTGACCTTCATCGTCATTTTGACTTTGGAGAAGAGCCACAAGTTGCCCAGTGCCAGATCTGGTGAAGAAGGTGGAAGAGGACACACTGTGATGTTTTTACAAGCCTGCCTTTCCACTGGCTGGCACTCAGCAGCAGCACTCACTGTATTGTTGATCATACCTTGTAAAGACACTCACGAAAGAGGACTTCCAGAACTGCTTCAGAAAGTGGCAAGAATAACATAATATGCTTGAAGCAAGGGGAAGGATTCTGAGGAGCACGAACAGCATTGTGTCTTTTACTGAAAATTTTTTTATAAAACACTCTGTATATTGTGATCACATCTCATACATGCATGAGGACCAAGCGGTCTGCTGGAACTTAGCAGTGCTCCTCATGGGCTAGAATCAGACATTGATTTGAGATCAGAAGTCAGTGTTAGAAAGCCACAGTTGCTCGAGCCGTATAGGTTGCTGGGGTTTGGGGCTTGGCCACTGGGTTGGGATGGGGAGGGTAGTGCAGGAGGGTAGGTTGCAGGGATGCTCCTGCACCGGCTCCCCCACTGTACAATTAGCCAGGCATGAGCACATGCAGCTGCGCCATGCAGGGCAAGCAGGATCTGTGCAGCTGCGGGAGCAGGGGGACCATGGTGACCATGCCCCCCAAGCCACCTGGGGAGGGAGGGAGAGAGACAGAAGGGAAGCTGAGTTGGAGCTGGTGGAGGCCCTGGGCTCACCCTTCCCAAAGGGTGGGAGAGGTGTGGGGGTCTAGCACTACCTGGAAGGGCTGTCACTGGCTCCACCTTGGACCCTTCAGCCCCTGTACCAAAAGAGACCCTGCTCGGAAATGCTTCCCGGCCTGCAGTTCACCCGGACCATGCCTAAGACTGGCAGTCCAAGCCCTGGCAGGCTGCTGCTGTCCTGCCCAGCCTTCTCTCAGCTCCATGATCTCGTGTGGCTACTCCAGGCCCAGCCCAGCACATTCCAGTAGGGTCCTCTGCTCAAGCCATTCCTGCTCCCTGGCCTTCCTTCCCTTTCAAGGCTCCTCCATCTTTCAAAACCCAGCAGATGCTGCCTCCTCCAGGAAGCCTCCCTGGCCTGTTCCCCTAGGAGAATTTCCTCACCACTCCAATTTCCACAGCGCACACACCTTCCTACAGGGCTTGCCCCATGCTAAAGTGGGTTATCTTAACCCCTGAGTCCCAAGATCAGCGTCTTTGCCCTCCACCCCCACGCCACAGTGTGGCTGGCTATCCAGAAGGGCTGGCACAGAAGTCTAGAGCTAGACAGCGAGAAGGAAGAAGACCCAGAGATGACTACAGGGACCGAAAGACACAGGAGGGGATGGGGCAGGCTGAGCCAGGTGGACTAGACCCTGCCACTGCCATCCTGTGTGCCTTACCAGGGCAGTCCAGGCTAGGGCAGTCCTCCAGGTCCTGTTGGGGCCCCAGGCAGCCCTGGCCACCAGGAGCAAGTGTAGGGCGCACACACTGGCGGCTGCGGGTCCCCAGCCGGCCACAGGAGTGGGAGCATGGGCCCCATGGGCCGCAGGGACCAAAGCCACCCCCAGCCTGGAAGCAGTTGTCCCGGGAGCAGGACAGCCTCCCATGCACACAGGAGCTGGGCAGAGGGCAAAGACGTGAAGGGCAGGGCAGGGAAGGTTGAGGAGGTTCTGGGCATAGGTCTGGGGCCCCAGAAAGAGGACGAGGATAATCCCAGACTCCCCTATACATCCCAGTCCCCACCCTAGGTGGCCCCCTCACCAGTTACTGCAGCCAGTTCGAAATGTCTGGCCTGGGTCCAACTCATCTCCAGGCCCAAAGTGCTGACCCTCCTCTCCCAGAGAGGTTGGGGACATCCCAGGCTCAGTGCTGGTGGCTCCCAGCTCCTGCAGCAGCATGGCTGTCCGCACACAGGGGCACTCCTGGGAGTGGGCAGCGAAATCACACAGGACCTGGTGCCTGTGGGCAGCCTCAGAGACTTGGTGGGGGAGACCTGGAGAAGGGCTTTGGGCCCCACAAGGGCACTTCTGGGTGTAAGGGGGTCGGTGGGCCTTCGTCATGGACATAAAGGCACCATGGAAGTGTGTGGGCTGGGGCCTGGGCCTGAGGGGCCAACATGACACAAGCAGGTATCACCAGAGGCCTGGCAAGGGCAGGACTTGGTGGGGCAGAAAGAGCTCAGCCAGGAAGTGGAGGAGTCAGGATGGCCAAGTTTGAGTCCAGTTCTGCCACTGTCTGTGTGACCTTGCTGTCCCTTCCCCTCTCTGGGGTCAGTGTCATCGTCTAAGTTGAGAATGAGGGACTAAGCAGCTCTGCTCAGCTCCCTGTGGCCATGGCATTCTGGAGGCCACTGGGACAAGGACAGGGATCCCCCATGCCTGTTGGGCTCAGCAGAGCAGAGATGGCACCTGGCAGCCACCTGCACTCGCAGCAGGAGATGAGGGGTCTGGGGCCAGGCAGAGTGAGGTGAGGAGGAGCTTTCCCCACAAGGCATAAGAGGAACGAGAGGCAGGGAAGACCTGCGTGGGCTGTGTTGCAAGACAAGGCTGGGCTGGGGGAGCCACAGGGTCAGGGGGTCGGGCAGAAAACTGCTCTTAGCTGCCAGGATGGCTGGGTTTTGAGCCAACACACAGGACGGGGCGGGGCAAATGATCCCCATTCCCAGGAACCAGGGGCATTGTATCACCCACACTGCCCACTCTAGTCCTCTACCTCTCCTTGCCCTGATGCTGGCAGGGAAGGGCCCAGACAACCGTATAGGCCTGGGTGCTGCTTAGGGTCATGTGAGGAAGGGGCCAGCTGTCCAGATGCCACAGGTCCCTGGAGGATGTGACGGGCTGCCAGGTGAGGGGCAGAGCAGGGCGAGGACAAGTTCTGACCTGGACACAGGCTGAGTGGTGCTGGAAGGTGCCCTTGGGACAGTGGCAGCCCTCCTCACAACCGCTGGAGAAGCAGGCCACCTGGCCCATGATGTGGGCACAGGAGAAGGGGCATCCCTCGCTGGGCTGGCACTCACGGTATAGACGGTCAGCTGGGCAGCCCACCTCTAAGGCAACACCCACGTTAGTGCCGGGCTCTTCCTGCTCACTCTGTGCCCACCTATTCTGTGAGTGCCCCTCCCTGGGCAGTGCCCCCTCCCACAGGCTCCCTCGAACTCTGGCTGCTTCCTTCTTCCCTTTCCCATCAGTGCTGAGGGAAGGGGCAGGTGGGCAGAAGGGGAGGGAAAGGACCAAGCCTGCCATGGAGCTCAAAGCGTGTGGCAGTGTCCAGCACAGAGGCCGGCAGGCTCACCTCTGCAGACCTGGGTGCGGCAGGTATGGCTCTGCTGGGCTAGTCCAGGGCAGGGGGGTTGGGGGCAGAGCTGGGAGCGCAGCTGCTCCCCTCCCCCACAGGACACACTGCAGTCCTCCCGGGGGCCCCAGGATCCCCACATGCCAGCGCCAGGGCAGCTGGGCATCTCCTGGCATTGCAGGATGCCTGCCACACAGGTGCTGGGGATAAGGGAGGGGGCTTCAGAGATGCCCTGGCCTACGCCTGGGTGCTTGCTCCTGCCCAGCTTCATCCAAAGACCCCTTTGCTCACCAGTTGTCACACAGCCCAGTCACCACCTCTCCAGGTTCCAGACTCTCCCAAGAGCTGAGCCCAGATCCTACCGACCGGCTGTGGTTCTCAGGAACTCCTTAAGGGTTCAGGAGTGAAGGTTGGGCAGCTCTGGACAGCTTAGCACCCCCATGAATCCCTCCTCTTACACCTGAACTCCACCCCATAGGCCCCTGTCCTGGAGGAGGGAGGTGGAAACAAGTTCCAACCTGGACCAGCCCGGGATGTGGGGGGACATGAGGGGATGCAGGGGGTTGCAGAGGTCTCCCATTCCCATCCTGCAGCCCCAGGCTGGGCCCTGTGGGAAGGTGCAGGGCCAGGCAGGGTGCAAGGCCTAGAGAGGCACTGACCCATGGCTCCAGGCTGCTACTGGCACCGGCAGGGGGCTGGGAGCACGCGGAGCCCGTCCTGGGCAAGCAGGCCTAGGGGACATCTGCAGCTGGGTTGGCAGCCCGTTGGGCCTGTCTGGCACACACTCCCAGGGGACAAGTCCCAGCAGGAGTGGGGACAGGGCTGCCCACAGGGCAGTAGATCCTGACCACCTCCACAATCTAGGGCAGGAAGGAAGCAGAAAAGGTGAGTGCTGGAGGCCTCCTGCCAGGACCACTGCCTATGCCAACCTGCTGCCCTAACCGTGGAGAGCGACTCGGTATGAATGAATGTACAGGGGTCAGAGGTCAGAGTCTCTCTAGACTTCCGAGCCTCTCCAGCCCCCACTGGAAGCCCCCACCTGTGCACTCTGTGGAATTGTTCCAACATGGGCGACTCTGCTCATGGGCCCCGGGGCACGGCCTGCCTCCCTCGGAGCTTGGTGGCTGGGTGCACACTCGCCTCCGGTGGGACTGCCCCAGGCACACATCGCAGGAAGACCATGGTCCTCAAGGGCTCCAGCCTCCATCCACTGTCCAGGAAGACAGAAGAACGTGTACCTTAGGAGCCCCAGGAGTCCCAGGATATGGAGGCTGGAATAGACATGGGGGAATGGCACAGGCCTCGAGTGGGCATCACACCTGGGCATGTGGTGAAGCTGGGGCAGGGCTCCCTCTGACGCTGAGCCCCTGCCTCCCCAGGGCACGGGGCACCACCGTGCTGAGGGGTGGGGCAGGCACAGGCCCTGGCTTGGGTCCTTGCTTGCCCCCTGCAGGGTTGGGAGCACGCTGTCCTCTCTGACCATGGGCACCAGCTTCCGGGCACTGCGAGGACAGTGTGGCACTGGATATAGGTGATCTTTTCCCCGGTCCTGGCCCCTCAGTGACCACAGGACCACTTCTCCCCTCCCTGCAGGCTGGCTTGTACCTGGGCAGGGCAGGTCCGTGCAGTTGAGTCTCCCCTCCGAGCAGGTGCTGGGCAACAGGTACAGACACAGGAGGATGAAGCAGCAGCTCAGGGCCACGTGGGCCCCACATGCAGCCTCCTGACCACCTCTACCTCCTCCCCCCAGTCTCAAGTCTATGCCTGTACCCCTGCTCCAGCACCCCAGAGCCTGCTCCCTGCCCCATTCTGCTGGCCCTGTGTGAGTGTCACAGCTGGTATGACCGGTGCAAGGCCAGACAGTAGGAGCAAACACTGCCCTATCTGTGGCTCACCCAGCCCAGCCCCTCTCCTCCCAGGAGCACACACTCAGTCCTCAGAAGACACATAGGGCTGGTTGCCTGTTTCCCCACTTACCAGACAGACCGGTGGTGCCCACCCCACATTTCTCAGGGATGGTGGGCGCATGAGCCCCAGAGCTCAAGTGCACACACACTAGGCAGGGCCACTCCCCCGGGCATCCCTGCCTCCTGACACCAAGGCAAGGCCAGCCCACCAGTGGCTGCAGCCATCAGGCCTGGCCAGCTGGGCGCCTGGATGGTGCCGCTCCCCAGTCAGCAGGTCCAGGCAGCCACAGTGACCAGGCTGTACACAGATGGTCTCGTCGGCACTCAGCACCTGGCCTGGGGGGCAGTAGCAGCCGGGCTGACAGCGCCAAATGCAGTGCTGTGGGGATACAAGGGTGGGCTCTGGTCAGCACCAAATAGGGCCTGTGGGGTAGGGGTGGTCAGTGGGGAGCCATAGAGTACTATGGAAGGATGCAGAGAGGGCAGAAACTGTGGCCTTCAGCTCAGAGGCTTCTGTCTTAAACACACTTTATACTTGAAGTTTTGTTAAGAAAGGCAGGCAGCGAGCTAGGCATGGTGGTGCATGATTGGAATCCCAGCAAGCGCTCAGAAGGCTGAGGCCAGGAGGATCACTGTGAGTCGGAAGCCAGTCTGGGCAAAAGAGTGAGTTCAAGGCCAGCCTGAACTACATAGTGAGACCCTGTCTCAAAAAACAAAGCAAAAACCACAAAAGGCAGGAAGAGGAACAAGCCAGCCTTGTTGTTCTTCCTCCCCAGAATGTGGCTTTGTGGGGACAGAGACCCTGTCTGTGTCCATGGTACTCAGGAAAGACTTTCACACACAGTCAAGACCTGCACGTGAAAATGCTCACGGTGCTTTGGGTGCTGTAGCGGGGTGGTTTCCCTTCCTATTTAGGCTATGTTTGTAATGGAAGTTTTACTTTGAGAAGAGTGGACGCCAGCCTGGCATGTGCTGATCATAGCCAAAGTCTGGGACCCCATCTGCCCAGCATCCGGACACCCATGAGCCCAGCCGAATCCACGAGGTAGCCCTGGAGTCAGAGGTCAGGTGGGGAAGCCAGGAAAGCCCAGACTCACCATGAGGTCGTCACAGGATCGGGGACAGGGAGGGCCACAGGGGCTGTACTCGGCCCCTTGGATGTGGTGCAGTTGGTCACTAGGAAGGGGACCACATGGGCTGAGAGCAGTGCTGCTCCCCCACCTTCTCCTCTGCTCCTGACCCCACCGCATCCCTGGCAGGTACCTGGGCACTGCTGAGCCTGACAGGTCTCCCCCTGGGCCTGAGGTCCCTCGCAGAAATGTCTCAGGCCCTCAGGTGGCGGCTGGTCACAAGCTCGGGTCCGGCCGCGCAGGCCTCCTCCACAGCTCCGACTGCAGCTGGACCGGGGTCCCCAAGGCCCCCAGCCCCCTGCTCCTAAGAGACAGCAAGGGAAGGTGAGTGGAGGGGCTTGGTGGGGCCTGGGGGCAGCTGGCACCACCTCCAGGGCAAGGGTCAGCCCACAGGGCTGGGGGCACTCACGGTCACAGGCGGGCAGGAGACGCTGCTCCTCCTCGGCCTCGAGTCCTGGGCAGAGGGGTGTGGGGGCAGCTGACGGGGGCAGCAGAGCCTGGCTGGACGGCGCCACGCTCGGGGGCCTGGGACAGAAGCGGTGTCGGTGGCGATGGGCAGGGCCGCAGGAGGCCGAGCATTCACTCCAGGGGGTCCAGGGTGACCACACGGGCTGGACTTGGGGTGCACAGGAGAGAGAAGGTGTGGAGCGCAGGCTGGGTGCAGGGGATGTGCCACCCCCTCCTCCTGCCCACACTCTCCTGAGAGCTGTCCCCGAACCCAGCCCCAGTCAACACTGCCACTGCTGAGGGAGCAGGCAGGGGCAGGTCACAGTGGGGAGCTTCCTCACCCTCCTCACAAGGCCGGGCGGTGCAGTTGGTGATGAGCCCAGAAACGCAGGAACTGCGAAAGTAACAGCAAAAGGCTGGCTGGCCTTCCGGACTGCGTGATGTCCCCTCAGAGTCTGCGTTCAAGCCCTACTAGCTCCAGTACATGTCGGTGTGGTCTGACCGGGGTCTTTGCAGAGGTAGCAAAGTTAAAGAGCGGTCACTGGGGTGGCCCTAACCAGGAACTAACCCAGGAGGGAGGAGAGGCCAGTGCAGGGGCACAGGCAGGTCCCACCTCCGAGGCCTGGATGCCTCTCCTGCCACCGAGGAGGGACAGCAGGGGCCTCAGGGGTCACCAGACCGCTGCAGGACAGGCGTCTCACCAGTTTTCACACAGACTCAGCACAGCACTGCCCGGGGGGTGAAGGCGGCCCCTGTGGGTGCAGGGGCAGTCCTGGGCAGGTGCACACACACTGTTCTGGAATGGAAAGCCGCCCGTCACCTCCAGTTCCACCGCCTCCCCAACCAAGGCCAGTACCCACTCCTGAGGCCCCTCAAACTCCATCCAGCCACAAACACCTCTCCCCAGCCTCCTCCTGCAGGGCAAATGTGGACCCTCAGCTGCAGGGGCCGGGGGGGACACCCCCCAATTTCTGTAAGAAAAGGACCATTTCCCATATCAAGACGCAAGACTGAACTGTCAAATGCCCTTAAAATCACCCCAAAAATACGAAATATTCATTTTATCTTGGTGGTACTGGCTATTGAACCAAGGGCCTTTAGACTAAGCCACATCCCCAGATCTTTTTTTACTTTTAACCTTGAGACAGGGCCTCAATAAGATACTAATTTGCCCATGCTGGGCTCAAACTTCTGATCCTCCTGCCTCAGCGCCCCCAAGTTCTGGTATACAGACATGTGCCACCACACCCAGTTATAGTATGTAACTTGAACAGTCGTGGTTAAAAAAAAAACCCCAAACCAATGCCCCTCAAATTTTCATCAACAATAAAAGAATAGAGAAAGTGATGTATACAGGATGTTTGGACAGAGGTCACTGAAATTTAACGGAATCATCCATTGGGCAGCATATGATTCAAAGTCAAGTGCATAGGGCCGGGGATTTAGCTCAGTGGTGCCACCGCCTGCCTCACAAGCACAAGGTCCTGAGTTTGATCCCTGGTACCACAAAGTCAAGTGCATGGATGTTTCTTGGGCACTCAGGAGGCACTGTGCCTGCCCCACCATCCTGACTCTGATGACTAGAGCCATCACTGCCCCGCTGAGATGTGAGAAGGCCACGCCCATGCTCCCAGAGTTACTGGCAGACAAACCTGATTTGGACCCAGACCTAACTACACCTGTCCCTTACCCCACCCCACATGTAGCAGCAGCTTGGGACCCTTTGTCCAAACCCCTCCATGCTCACTGACTTGCTCAGCCCTGGTACCCAGCCCTCCAACTAGAGCGGTGCCTCTTGCTCTCCTGGTCCTCCAATCTCAGGCTTCTCCAGGAAGCCCTCCACAGCTGACACAGCCTGCTCTACAATGTGCGAAGCTCACTTCCTGTCTCCGATGCTTCTGTCTTTGTTCTTGGGGCTCCAGGTCTGGCTTCACCTGACTAAGTGCTTCATGAAGGCAGAGCCTGTTTCCCTCCTTGATATAGCCCAGACTGAGCATATGGTAGGTGACCCTTCTGAGTCACCCCGGGTCCTCAGGCATGAGGAGGTCCTGCCTGTGGCCTTACAGGGAGGACACTCACCAGCCCAAGCATCCCAGCTGGGCAGTAGCAGCCACGGTGGCAGGTCTGGTTAGTCCATCCTGGGGCATTGAGCTCTGCACAGGAGGCAGGCCCCTGGGCACAATCCTGCCACTGCTGTCCCCTGGGACACACACTGGGCACGGGCCCTGGAGACAGAAATCAACAGCCCTGTCCCCTGGGCTCCCAACCTGGAGAGGCATCTGCTCCAGTTATGCCCGGGCTCATTGTAGGGTTGCACAGGGTTAAAGGACAAGGCTGCAGGGAGGGAGTTAACAGTGACCTGGGTTAGTGGGGAGAAGAACTGGAGGGTCCCTAAGGCAGTCCTCACCTGCACAGGGCTGCAGGCTGCAGGTGGAGAACTCCACAGGGCTGTGTGGGCCACTGCCTCGGGTGCGGTTCCTGTAGCCACCACCGCGGGGCACAGAGCACGGAGTCCAGGGACTCCACACCCCACCGGGACCTGGGGGTGGCACCCAGGTCGCTGCAGGCCCTGCCTCCCACACCTGGACATGAGGGGAACCCTCCCTGCTCACACCTCCAGCCACTTCACCTGGGCACCCTACCTGCCTCGGACCTGCTGCCTCCCAGGAAGGAAGCAGCTGGCTCTAGGGAAGGCGTCCTGTAGGGAATGGATTTAGCAGCTCTCAGACACCCTCTCAGTGGCATCTCTCAGATGGGTCGCTTGCATCTCTCACAGGACCCTGGAGGATGCCATGGGGGTATTCTAGCTCCTCTCTGAGGACATGAGTCTGCTCTCACCTCTACACGGCCACAGACTGCAGAATTCAGCTTCCATGTTGGGGCCTTGGCATTCAGCACCCCCAAAGGCAGCAGGGGGTCCAGTGCCTGTCCGGAAGTGTCGCCCAATGCCCACATCACAGCTGCGGCTGCAGGGACTCCACGGGGTCCAGGGGCTCCAGCCACAGGCCCCTGCCAGGGGAAGTGGGTGGTGTGTAAGGCCAAGTCAAACCACCCTGAACACCGACTCGCTCAGGGTATCTCCTTGCTCCTATGAGCTCATCTCAAAAAGGCCTAGGTCCCCCGAGGTCCCTGACACCAGCCCCACGTGGAGTACCTGGGCAGGGCTCTGAGGTGCACGTCATCTCACCAGAGACACAGGTGCTACGGAGAGAGGGCCTGTGAGACCCGATCTGGCTCATCCCCACAGTAATCAGTCCTGCCCTTAGCCACTGTGCCCACCACCCACCCTTGAAGCTCAAGACTTGACCAGCAGTCCCACCACCCAAGACCACCCTCAGGGGCTCCACAATGCCCCAGGCACTGTGTGCCCCTTTGTCACAAAGCTTCACCAGGAGACACCTTTTCATACTTTTTATTCCATTTGCATCTACTAAATGCCATTTGGAAATGACCTTGAGTGACAAAATCAAGGAGTGATTTAGAAAGAGCAGGAGTACTGGGCACCATTCTTTCTCCATAGTTTTCTCCAGAGTATGTTTTAAAGCCTATCTACCAAATCCTGAAGGTTACCAAAAAATAACTGAAGAGGAGAAGAGAGAAAGTAGTTAGGGGAGGAATAATAAAATAAGGAATTGGGGGTACAACAGATAGAATAGAAAAAGAAAATTATGAAGAAAAGGAAGTGAAAAGGGGCAAAGGAACTGGGCTCAGCGGCCTCTGCTGGCAGAACCTGGGCGGAGCTTTGAGTATTGGGTACTTCAACCCTGAATGCAAATGGAGTGGGTCCCAGAGAAGGAATGATAACCGGAAAGAGGAACAGGAAGCAGCTGGGAGGAGAGGTCTGGAGCCCTTCTCCAGTCTCTAGTCCCATCACACACATATGAGACTCCATCCTGCCCCCTTCAGGAGCCAGCCCCCCAGTACCCTTCCCTGCACCGCCCCCCCACCCCGGTGACCCACCAGTGGTTTCAGGCGTTGAGGCGAGCCGCCGGTCCAGGTGCGTAGAGCTGCCCATGCAGCTCGCAGGGGCACGGCGTTTGGGGCGGGCAGCTGGCGTTGTGCGGAAAGAGTCCAAGGGCACAGGCACAGCCGGGGCACAGACCCCTCCTGGTGACACTGGTCTGCTGAGAGGAACACCATGTCGCCGGGGCACTGGGCTGTACGGGAAGACAGAGTGGGTCCTGGGTGCGGGCAGGGGCAGGAGGGAAGAGCAGTGCGGTGGATAGGGAGGGGGGTGCCTGCAATGACTGGAGAGAGGCGACATGGCCCTTCCTGTCCCTCCCTTCTCAGGCTTGCTCCAGTGCCTAGAGTGTCACCGGTGAAGAGTTGTGGCTTTTCTCCACTTGATGCAATTTGTTTTGTTTTGTGACGGAGTCTTAAGATTTATTCCAGGCTGTCCTTGAACTCACTAGGTAGGCCAAGCTGGCCTCAGACAATTCTCCTGCCTCAGCCTCCTGAGTGCTGGGATTATTGGTGTGCTTCACTGCGCTCAGCTAGTACAGTTGCTCTTGAGACAGAAGAGGAGACTTGTATCTGATCCAGAAGAGTTCAAAGGAGAGTGAGGAGGGGGAATGGGCTTCCCAGGGCCTGCACTGCTTGTGTACACCAAGTCTGTCCACCATTCTGACTTCCTTGGAGGAGGCTGCCCTTTGGGCTGGGACCCCAGCAGCCAGGAGCCTGGTCCCCAGTGAGTGGGAGAGGGAGGAGATCTGCAGGTCTCTCTGGCTCAGGTACCACCTGACCTGACACCCTGACCTTGGGTGTGGAGGTGCAGGGTGAGGGTCAAACCCTGGAAGCTGAGGGCTATGGCCAGCTGGAGGGGTGGGGTGGTGGAACCTGGTACCTGTGCATGGCTGTGTGTTGCAGTCCCTGGTCTGACTATGGGGTCCCTGGCACACGGGGTGCCCATGTGCTGGGCCATTGCAGCTGTGCCCATGGGTTTGCATGCCCCCACCGCAGGGGGTTGAGCAGGCAGACCAGGAAACCCGCAGACCCCAGCTGCTTGGCACTGAAAGGAGAGGCCAGGTTCCCAGTCACCAACATGGTGAAGAAGTGGCAGGGGAGGGGTCAGGGCTGTGGGGTGTGCAGGGCCCCCCAGCCATACCTCCCCAGCAGTCAATTGTGTGCTGGTTGAGGGGGCAGTAGGGGTGAGGAGAAGCTTAAGGACAACAGCCAGGTGTGCTCCAACCCACTGTCTCCTCTCCTCCACTCCCTGGGGCTCATAGGGTCCCATCCCACCAATGTCCCTGGCCACACCAGGGATGATGGGGTCATACCTGGGCACAGTGGGGGGCTGCAGGGCTCCTCCTGGTTTGCCTCTCCATGGCAGCTGTCCCTGGAGCTGGGGCAGAGCCAGAAACACCGTTGCCAGCTGGGGCCCCCTCCAGGGACAAGGCAGCTCTGGGAACAGGGGGACCAGGGTGTCCAGGGTGTCCAGCCCAATGCCTCTGCAGGAGACACAGTGGGCCTATTGCTTGGGGCCAGAGAGGCCAGAAGGCCAGGGAGGGCTCAAGAGGATGAGAGGTACTGTGCTGGGCTCAGGGGGCCTCTGTCCCCTCAGCTGGCTGGGACCCCTGTGCTCCAGCCCACTTCGCACACTTGGGATGGCGGTAGGGGCACCTCTTCTGCCCCAGGCCCAGCCAGTGCACAGTGTTACCTCCTGCAGATACCTGCTTCTCCTAGCCCAGCCTGCTTGGACACCTGGGCCATCAGCATCTTCGTGAGAGCCTTCTCCCTCCCACCAAAGCCCATCCACCAGGGGCAGTTCAAAGGTTTCCCCCCTGACTGTGGAGGCTTCCCTGACTACCCTCCCAGGGCACCTGGGGGTCCCTTCCTGCCATGTCCACTGGGCTGGGCACAGGGAGTGCACTGGAGGCGGGCTTCTGCTGCACCTGTCTCACACTCCATGCGGCAGGCCTGCAGCTCCTGGCTGTCACCCTTGCAGGGGGCACCTCCAAAGGCCGCGGGAGGGTTGGAGGGAGACGGAAGGAGAAAAGCAGCCCTGGACGCCTTATCCTCCTGTCCTCCCCTACCCCAAGCTCTGGCCCTCCTTCCTTCCCATCTTCCTGCTGTCTTCTTTGCCCTGCACACCTGAACCTGACCTTCACTCCGGGGCCACAGGATCGGTCCCAGGGAGCCCAGGGGGACCAGGCTGGGGGCAGCCGCCCGGTTCACACTGCAGCACACCCTTCTTGCCCACACTTTGGGGAGAGAGAGGATAAGGAGCTGTGAGGGCCAGGAGGACTGGCGCAGCACCCTCCACGCCCAGCGTCCTCCCTGCCAAGCACCCTCACCAGCGCCTGCAGCTGTCCATCAGGAAAGATGTCCCTGGCCACCTCAGCTCTTTGCCCACAAGACAAGGGCACTCGGAAAGGGACAAGCAGCGAGAGTCATAGAGGAGGAGCCCCGGGGGACAGCGGCATCCTGGTGTCAAGGGAGGGGAGGCTGGTGTCCGAGAACAGGTGGCCTGTGTGGGCACCACTCCCTCCCACTGCTCCGGTCTGCCTCACCCTCCACACACTGCCCAGTGCAGCTCCTGTTGGCCTTGGGATCCAGGCACGAGGGTGGGCACAGGGGCACCAGCCCCTCCCGGCACAGCTCTGCATTCACATGCACACGGCCCACAGTCTGGGGGGAGATGGACACCTTGTGGGGTGAGCCCAGGGAGGCCCAGAGAGCCACCTGTGCCCAGCACCCTCTTACCTGTGTCACCTGCACAGGGCTGCAAGCCACAGGGGACCCTCTCCTGGGAGGCCCCAGGGCAGGGGGCACCATTATTCTTGGGTTGGGGGTCCACATAGCTCCTTGGGTGACTCTAGTGCCCATCTCCACAGGAGACACTGCAGGGGCCCCACGTCTCCCACTCTGCCCATGCCCCAGCCACTGTGGGGGAAGGAAGAGCAGGAATTTAGCAGAGAGGTCTCAGGGAGACACATGCTGTTCTGGAGAGAGGGCAGCTGGCAGTGCAGCACAAAGCCCTGCAGCTTCCTCCTCTGTCCAAGACGCCTCTTTCTCCAGTTGTGGGAACCTAGAGAAGGACCTGTTGACGCCTCCCAGGATAAAAGCTCTTCAAGGGGCAGGCAGTGCCTGTGCAAACCCTGAAATGTGCATAGTCTGGTACAGTGGGTGAAAGAAAGTGGTCAGATGGCATTGGGAGGCAGATGTGGGGGCGAAGGAGAGCCCACTGTGGGTAGCCCCTCTCTGGAATGCATAGGGGTGAATGGGGACCACTCCCTCAAGATTCTTGGGAATAAAGGGCTGCAAAATTTTGGTGAGGAGCCCAGGGCAAGTGGAACAGCCAGCTGATACTTGAGTCTAGCTTCCAACCCTCACTGAGCTCCACCTATGGAGGCTCTTCCATCCATCCATCCACCCATCTATTCACACATCTACCCATGCACCAATTTATCCATCAATCCATCCATCCTCTATCTACTCATCCATCCATTATCCATCCATTCACTCACCTACCCATCCATCCATCCATCCTTCATCTACTCATCCATCCATCCGCTTACCTACCCATCCATCCTTTTATCCATTCACCCATCCATTTATTCATCCATCCATTTATCCATCAGTCCATCTATCCACCATTTGTCCATTGATTCAGCCATCTCTCCATTCATCCATCCATCCACCCATCCGTCCATCCATCTTCCCAGATCATCTCCTTCCATCCTCAATGCCTTCTGATGTGGGGTGACCCAGGTTCCCAGTTTTCAGGAGAGATCTAGTACATGGTGGTGGGGGTCATTTGGGCAGGCAGGAAGGTAGGCTGATCCCACCCCCTCAGGGGGTCTGGCTACCTGGGCAGGCCTGCACAAAGCAGGGCTGGCTGCGCAGCTGGTCCATTTGGCAGCTGCCCCCAGGCAAGGGAAGATGCAGCTGCTTCCTGTGTTGGAAGGTGAAGCCCAGACCACAGCTGCGGCTGCAGCCACTCCAGCCAGACCAGGGTGCTAGTATACAATCCATTGTGGGGACAGGTAGGTGGGGCTCAGAGGGGGCTCATGGAGGTGCGGGTCCCTCAAGGCTGTCCCCTGCCCAGGCAGCACAAACCACAGCCTTCCTCGTCTGAGCCATCCTGGCAGTCTGGGTGCAGGTCACAGCGCTGCTCAGCTGGCAGACACTCCCCACTGCCACAGTGCAGCTGGTTCAGGGACCAGAGGGACCTCAAGGCTGGCAGTCCAGGCAGTGCTGTGGTGGGCACTGTGAAGGGCTCTGAGCTCACTGGCCATGAGGTGTGGGAGGAGCCACATGAGTGATAAACTGAGCCCCTTCAACCTCAGGCCAAGAGTGGGGTCATTCTTGGTGGCCAGAGGCCTGGCTTCCCCTTCCTCTGTGCCTCTGCTCCCTACCACTACTGTGGGTGAGGTTCACATAGATCTTTGGTGTACACAGGTCTTATACAGCCTCTCTACTCATTAAAGGCTCTTGCAGTGTCTAGAGAGGAGTCAGAGCACTAGAAAATTAGTTTACTCCCTTGGGTACCCTCTTCCTGAATGGGTACTCCCTAGGATATCCCTTCCTGTGACTGGTTAATGCTTGATTTCTTGTATCCTGATTGCAAGACAAGGATTTGATCATAATGATTTACTTTGGATGGATGGATGAATGATGAATGATAACTACATCAATGGATAAATGGTAGGTGGGTGGGTGGATGGGTGGATGGATGGATAGATGGATTAACGGATGGAGGGATGAATGGATGGATCAATGGATAAATGGATAGATGAGTGGATGAGTGAGTAAATGGATAAATGGATAGTTAGATGGAGGATGGGTGGATGGGTGGATAGATGGATGTAGGGGGTGGAAGGGTACAGATATGGGTGTATCCATGGATAAATGGCAGGTGGATGGATGGATGGGTGGGTGAGTGAATAGATCATTGGAAAAATGGATGGATGGGTGGATGCATAGATGAGTAGATGAATCACCTCAAAGGTCAGACAGATTTATAAACAAACTGAGACCCAAGGCCTATTCCATTCCCCTTCTTCATCACCTCTGAAGACACTACATTCCTGTTTTCACACTTTCAGTTTCTCTCCACTCTCTGCTACGCTATCCTCTCCCAAATCCTTCCCACATGAGCTAGAAATGGGCACAGGGAGCCCCAGGCCCGAAGCCCTCTTGCCACCCCTAGTATCTGACACAGGCCCTCTGCTTGCTGCAGCGCTGCTCATCAGAGCCATCCAGGCAGCCCTCCTTCCCATCGCAGAGCTCCTTCCCATTCCACACAGCCCAGCACCTCGCAGGGGACCTGCCCAGGGCTGCACCACACAGGTGGAAAGGGCTTGGGGGTGGCATTGTGGCCTGTGGATGAATGAATAGATGGATGGATGAGTAGATGGACATTGGCATCCCTACGTGACCAGGGATCTGGCTGGCCCTAACCTTCCTCCTTGGTCACCTTCTGGTAGTTCCCAATCTCCTGCCTCTTGGCATCTGGGGTGGCCCACTTTCTGCCCCTCTTGGGAAGATGGAATTGGAGTGAACGGGGTCAAGAAACTTGGTTCCAGGGCCTGATTCTACCAAAAATGGCCTTAAGCAGTGTGACCCTCACCAACCTCCCAGGGCTCTGTGCCCTCACAGAGAACCTGGGCTCACAGGCTTGCCCACAGAAGGTCTCGGGATCTTACCAGCAGGCGTCACCAGCGTCAGTGGATGTGGGGGAAGCACAGTCACAGCTGCCATTCCCGGCTGTAGGCTCATGGCCCCAAGGTGTGGTGTCGATGCGATGGCCACAGAGTGCATGGATTCCCCAGAACTCGGGTGGGGAGACCCACAGGCTTCAACAGGACTCCCTGGCCTCTCCTCTGCAGGTGGAAGAGGAAGCGAGTTGATGCTGCCAGCTCTCCTTGCCACGAGAGGCAGTGATACAGACCCCAGAGAGGGGACTCTGGGCTTCTGGGTGGCAGAGACAACACTGCAATGACTACCAGAGGATTTGAGCCTGTGAGATATCACTGCCCGGCCCCCAGAACGGCAGGGAATGTGCCAGGGACAGGGATTTGGGGAGGAGGCTGGAGTTGGTGCACATACCTTCAGGAGGCATGGGGACCTCTGCTTGGCACGCCAATATCCAGTCTCTGCTGGAACCTGCAGAGGGACAGGGCTCAGCCACCCAGCACGACCAGGTACTGCGGGCGGCTCTACAGGAACCCTCCTCGCTCCCCTGCCTTTGGGAAGCGTGTGGGGAGGGGCCGAGGACTAAGCAAGGCTCTGCAGGGGAGCTGGGCTGCTCTCTCCAGGGTACGCACCCCAAGGCACTGGTCCACACCCTCAAGGGGCCCTGGAACCCAATCCTCCAATACTCCACCTCTCCTCCACACACATTCTGGATTCCTGACCAGGCTGCTCCCTGCTGGACAGGGCCCGCCCCGCTTCTCCATGTTACAGATGTCCCCGCCACCCCAGTTACTCAAGCTGTGTCCAGATACTCTGGAGATCTCTGACACTGTGCTTTTCTAGGCTCGGAGAGTAGATGCCAGGGACCTGCCCTGTCAGGCCTCTTGTCTCTCAAACTCCTCCAGGCTGGTGTCCTGCCCTAGGCTTCTCTGTACCTGTCTGCCCCTTGGGTCCCGAGCCCCTCACTAGCACCAACCTGCGCCCTAGAAGGCTCCCAGGTAGAAGGTCTGTCGGAGCAGCACCAGGGAACACAAGTGGAGGAAATGAGAGAAGAGGGGAGTGGCAGCGGCAGCCCTGGTGAGGCAGTGAGGCCTGGGCCCTTCCCTGTACCCCTACCCCGTGCCCACCCTGGTGCTTCCTGCTCACCTCCCAGGGCTGGATGGAGGAGAGGGCTGGGGTCCTGGCTGTGGGAAGGACTCTGGGAAGAGAAATTGCCAAGGAGGTTCCAGGGGTCTCCCAGCCCCAGGGGCCCCATCCAGGAAGGGGTCAGGGGTCTCTGGGCCAGGGTGGTACATCCAGGAAGGACACAGCCCACTAAGGCTGGACAAAGGTGAGTTCTAAACGAGGCTTTCAGCTTGCTTACATGTTGGGATCACCAGGGCAGTGTGCGAAGCACACCTGCAGGGCCCCCAGTGTGGGTGGGGCGGAACCAGGTGCTGGTGCTGCTGGGCCAGGGCCCCACTTCGAGAACCACTGAACAGCAGATGTTATCAGAAGGCAGAGCAGCCCAGAATCCCAAGGCAGAATGGGGACGCCCTAGGCATGTGGGGTCCACTGGCCCTGGGGATACCTCCCACGTGGCTGTTCCCTCTAAGTCCAGGCAGAGGCCGAGCCATACCCGCCAGTCCCCACAGGTGAGGGCCCACATCCCTCCTCATCAGAACTGTCCTCGCAGTCTGCAGCTCCATCACACGGGGCCCCGCTTGGGGCACACTCCCCACTGGCACATTGGAGCCCGGATCCTGGGCACCTGGATGCCATCGGGGAAACTGCGTAGCGGGGAGGGTGTTACTCAGGGCTCCTGCCATCCTCCTGCCCACTCCGGCCCCACCCCTACCCCAGCCCAGCCTTACCTGGCCCACAGCCCAGCGGCTCTGCCCAATGGAAGATGCTGTGGCCCTCACTGTGATGGCTGGTGTGCGGCCAGACCCTCACGTATCTCGCCTGGACCAGCTGGCCAAATATCCATCCCCTGGGGGCCATATTGGCCTGGCTCCCAGGGAAAGGCTGTGGCACAGGACAACTGCTGTAACCCTGATCCTGCTGGGTCTCCTCTCTGCTCACCCAAGTCCCCCAACCTTCAGGGCATGGACCCTCCTTTGGTAGCATCCGGTCCCCCAAGGCTGTGGGAGTCTGACTCTGGTTGAAGCTCCTCCCACTGGGCCAGGTCTTGCCCAGCACCTGGCCCAGAGCAGGTGCTTCTTAAGTTGTGGACACCTGCATGGGCTGAGTCCTCTGCCTCATGGGGCTTGTCTCCCCACAGAGGACACTGACCCCGGGACATCTGCCCGAGTGTGACCACTTTGGTGTTTCCTGATATCTGCTTGGCAGTGGTACAGCTGAGTGCCTACTACTCATCAGGAATTCTGTGAGCATCTAATGCAGGGACTGTCCCTCCAGGAGACTGACAGGCCCTTGGGGACAAAGACTATGGGACCCACAAAGGGGCCAAGTGGGTCACAGGCCCAGGGGCCTTGGGTGTTTGGTACCTTGGGCAGGGGCAGAGTGCCAGGCAGGATGTCACAATAGTCGTGCCAGTGTAGACCATCACTACTGAACTGGAGGGAGAAGCTGGGAACATGAGTGTCAGAGGAACGAGTCTCCCACACCACGATGCCTGGGAGGGGTCAGGGCAAGGACAGGGTCAGCACTGAAGGGAACACTCCTGCCCCACCCCCATCCTCCTCTTCCTCATTGACCGGAGAGGTTCCGGGGCCACAGTAGGTCCAGCTGCAGGTAGGGAGGCCAAGGGTGCCACTCGGCATGAGCATCCTCTCCTGGGCCAGGGGCCTCAGTGGGAACCCCCTGGAGGGCTGCATGGGTGGGGTGCTCCAGCTCTGGGGGCAACACCTGCAGGCTCTCCTTGGGTGGTTGGGGCAGGCCCAGGGGCAAATAGCAGGAATCTGGGTGCAGGAGAAAGAGGTGGCTGGTGGGTGTTGTAACAGGGACCAGGGACAGTCAGGAAGCCTCAGGGAGCTGGGGGTACACAGGGCCACACAGATGACCTTTGCCCAGGATGCAGGGACGAGCAGGTGACTTGGGATAGTATGACTTCTGACCCTCAGGATAACCTCCAACATGTGGGGCAAGTGGCCTCCCCTGGTCCTGTCTCCCCCGCCCAGGCCCAGCCACCACGTCCCCCGGCATCCACTACAACAGCACATGGTCTCACCTCCCGGTGGGGGCAGAACATAGGTGACCAGAGAGTGTCCGATCTGAGGGCTGGGGGCTGGAGCCGGGGCTGAAGTGGCCATGAGGGGCGCTGTTTGGTTCTCTCCTGTGTGGGGAGACCCAGGGAGGCTCGCATGGGACCTGGCTGAGTACTTTCTGTCCTGTGACTTCCCAGGAACCCCAGGAATAAGCCCCCAGCTGGGAAGGGCACCTCCTTCCCTCAGTGTGAACTGGGTGCTTTCATACCCAAAGAACATTTAGAGAACACAGAAGAAAACTACCAGTCCAAAGCCATTTAGAACCAGGACAGAGGAGGTGCAGTTTCTAACTCAGGGCTGTTGTCGATAATAGTAACCTCTCTGGACATTAGAAAGCAGCTGGCCCTGGGTAGAAGCTGTCCTGTGGGCTGGAGTCCTGGTCCCACTCATCAGCTATATTGTGAAGGGAACAACCTGGACCACTGTGTTTGCTGGCTGCCCCACCCCTAACCTCACCAAGCCGTGGGAACACTTGCAGGATAAGGAAGATGGACCACTCCCAGCTTCCCCAGTTCCTGCTGTATCCTCCTTCTCCCTTTGGGGCTCCTGGGACATCCCCCAGGCCCACTCACCAGGCAGGGCACAGTGGCAACATGATTCTCCCACTCCTTCCACCAGGACCCAGCCCTGTAGGATGCAGAAGTCAGGCCGCCTGCCCCTCTGACCCCCTCTTCTAGCCTCCCAGAGTCTGGCCTCTCCACACCATTCTCCTCCCAGACCCTGCCTGCCCCAGGCTCCCGGGCACCTCACCTGGGGGCAGCTGCCCAGCTGGCAGTAGGGGGAGCAGTGCACGGCGCTGAGGCCCAGACACTGGCACACCCTGCAGGGGCCCCTGCGCCAGCACTCCCCCACACGCCTCACGCGGCCCTGCTGCTTGAAGCCCTGGCTCAGTTCCATCTGGCACCTGATGACAGAGGGGCAGCCCAGTCTGGGCAGGGGCTCACCTAGGGTCACCTAGGGTGACCCCAGAAGTCTGCCCCCTAGGGGACGCACAAGGCACAAAGCTGAAACGGGAGAAGCCTGGGGCCCCAAAGGAGTTCTGGACTTCAGACTGGGAAGGCAGAGAGCAGGCCCCACACTTGGGCTCTGGGGCAGATGTGAAGCGCCCATCCTGGGAGGGGCACGCAGGAAGGCCCCTCTGTGGGAGGTGGAGACGGGGCAGGGTCCCAGCTGCTACCTGTGGGCCTTGCGGTGGATGCCCCGGCATTGGTGACCTTGCCCGGACTGGCGGGGGTTGTTGGGGCTCCGGAAGGACCACCGGATGCTCTGGCTTCTGCAGGGGCCCAGGCACTCAGCCCAGGGGGACCATGAGGACCAGCAGCAGTTCACTGAGGGGGAGAGTCAGGGCCAGGATGAGGGGTGGGCACCCCCCGAGACCCCAGGGAAGGTCCACTGCAGGAGTGCTCACCAGTGCAGTCTGGGTTGGGTTGGCAGCACCGGGGCCGCCCATCCTGTCAGACACAGAGCTGGCAGTCAACCTTGATTTGCTGCCGAGGCCAGTAGCAGGCACCAGCCACCAGGCAGAGACACTGCCGGGGCCATACGCAGTGCTCTTTGCTGCCTAGCACCTGCCCTTTAGGGCACCAGCAGCCTGAGGAAGGCCCAGGGTAAGTGTCCATGTGTGGGCATGGCCCCCACAGACCATGGGCCCAGAGCCCCCTCACCTGGGCTGCTGCAGGGCCGCTCAGGCGGGCACACAGCCTGGCCAGAGATGTCATCACAGGTCAGAGGGCAGGGGGCACAGGGCCAGAACACCAGCTCCCCAGAGCAGGTGGCATTGGGGGAGCCATCCTGAGGGCAAGGCTCTGCGAGGGAAAGGAACCGGAACCAGGGCCGGGGTGGGGGTGGGGGCCTCTGTCCCACAGCACCCCCCAGCCCCCACCAGGACCCTCTTCCTGTCACTCACTGGTCTCAATGCTGGGAGGGTCCCCAGGCAGCAGGGCACAGGCCCGGCCCCCATTCTGGGGAGGGTGGCACTGCCGTTGCCGCGTCATGGTGCCCCCACGTTGCTCAGAGCACAGAGACCAGGGAGACCAGGAGCCCCATTCATGGTCCACTGTGAGAGGAGGGACCATGTGGGCAGGGAGGGACGTGAGGTAGGACCGAGCCCAGCGGTCCCTCCTGTTCCCTCTGCCCCATCTCTCCCTGGGGTCACCAACCATCACCTGGACAGGCCTCGGCAAAGCAGGCCTGGGATTGGTGCTCAGGGCCCGGGCAGCGCTGCAGCACTGGAAGCCCAGGTGGGGAGCAGCGATGTCTCCGGGCCCGCACCCCAGGCCCACAGGTCTGGCTGCATGGCTCCCATGGGTTCCAGGAGCTCCAGGCCCCACAAGCCTGCTCCTCAGGGGAGGGCCCCGTCTCCCCCAGGGCCACCTCGCAATCAGGCTGCCCGTCACACACCTGGAAAGAAGAAGGCCAGGATCAGGGCTGCTTGGGGTACACTTGGGGACACAATGGCTCTGCCTCCTCCACCCCTGTCCCTGCCCTCACCCTCTGGAAGCCAATGTAGATGCCGTTAGGGCATGAGTACTCTGGGCAGGGGACCCCTGTTCTGTTGTGGCCTGCTGGGGGTGGCAGCCCCTCTGGGGAGTAAGAGAAAACAAGTCAGCAGAAAATGGGAGCCATCCCTGGACCCCAGAGTTGGCCCCAGGAGGAGGAGGACAGTGTCCATACCACAGCCCAGCTCATCCTCGTCCTGGGGACAGTCGGGCAACCCACTGCAGAGCTGCTTGGCGTCCAGGCACAGCCAGGGGGCCAGGCCACAGGGGGAGAGGCCGGGGCCCGGGGGCAGCAGGGTGGGGCCTGTGGGTGGGGAAGAAGGGCTGGTGCTCCTGGGCCCTGGGTCCCCTCCCCACTGGGGCTGGCAGGGAGGTCCAGGCACAGGAGGAGGGAGGCGGGTGGGAGATGGAGACAACACCCCATCAAAGAAACTGGGGTCCCAGGAGGGCCTGCAGATGCCTCCTCTCTAGCGAGGTGACAAGGACCTGAAGGGCTGACTTAGCCAGGCACGGGTGGCAGGAACCTGGGGTGTCCAAACAGAATCGCTCCCAGGCCCTCTGAGCCAACGCCCTGCCTCTAGCCCCTTCTTGCTGCAGTGCGAGCAAAGACAAAAGCCTTTTTCTTCTGTCTGCCGAGGGCAGCAAGGAAAAGCAAAACGTTTCACAGAAGGCAGAAGTCCTGCAGACCCTGCTGTCCCCGGATCGGTCGCTCTCTCCCTGCGCTCCCAAGCGTGCCCAGCAGAGGCAAAGGTGGGAGTGTCCGGGGGCGACTCTCACCGCAGGCCTCCGGACTCCCGTCCCAGCCGTCCAGGCGCTGCAGCTCGCCGTCGCACAGCTGCCCGGGGGACACGCAATGCACGCCGCCACGGGGACGGTGCACGAGGTGCGGCGCGCAAGGCCCCGCGCAGCCCAGTTCGGCGCTGCGCTTCCGTCAGCGTCAGCGCAGTCCTCCTCCTGGTCGCGCGCAGTCGCTGCTGCCACACGCGAACTCCGAAGGGCCGCAGGGGGCTGCGCAGTGGGGGTGGGGGTGGGGGTAGACCTGGGCCGGGCTCGCCTCCTGCCCAGCCTGGACTTAAGCTTCGCCTGAGCTGCCCACCCCTTTCAGCCCTTCCCAGGGGTCCTGCTTTCCCCTGCTGCCTTAGACCCTCCTGAGCTCAGAGGGAGGCCTTGAACACGAGGAAATAAGGTTGGGACCTCCGTGCCTCCCAGATCCGTCTCTCTTTCCTCTCTCTCTCCTTCCTTCCTCCCTTCCTCCTTTCCTATCCCTTCCTACAGGACTCCTGCCTCCACCGCCCAGAGTGCTGGGAGTTCCACTTGGCTCATTCCAGTCTCTAGCCCCAGGGCCCTGCCCAACACCTCCCTCTGAGATCCCTTCTGTCTCCTGCCTTGGGATGTCAGAGCGCCAGCTTTAGCACCCATCTCCTCAGGGAGACTCACCAGAGCTGGTACTACCCAGGGGACTTGGTGCACCTTCCAGGGAGCCCAAGGAGGGGCCAGGCGTTGTGCCAGCAGGGGGGAGTGGGCAGAGAGGGCAACGGGCAATGTTCAGGGCCCTCGTCGGCCCCATCTGGGCGGTCCCAGACTCCGTCACACAGCTGGAAGGTGCCCGCACAGGTGCCAACACAGGACACCTCCCCAGGAACACAGCTCACCTGCCCTGCAGCCGGATAGGAGGAGCTGGTCCAGGACCGCCCCCATTCTCACCGTCCGGGGTGGTCCTGCCCATGCGCACTCATGCCAGCTTTATGAGTGGGTCATGGGGCCTGGCAAAGGAGTGCTGTGGGGAGTTTGGGGCTCTCCAGAAGCTGGGCCTGGAGGAAGGGCGCCGGGTGGTCTGAGGTCCAGAGCAGAGACAGCTCACCCAGACAGGACTCCTCGTCTGCAGCATCCAGACAGTCGGAGTGCCCGTCGCACAGCAGGCTAAGGGGCAGGCAGTGCCCAGCAGTGCAGGCCAGCGAGTTGGAGGGGCATGGGCAACCCTGTTCATCGGTGCCATTGCCACAGTCATCCTGGCCATCACTGAGCTGGGCCGGGGGTATGCAGCGGCCAGACTGGCAAGACATCTGACCTTGCCCACAGCCTGGGGTGGCACAGGCTGGCAATGACACTGGGGTTAGAGAGCACCCCTTTCCTACCCCTCACCCCTTCAGGCCATTGCTCTGGGCAAAGGAAACAGCAGCTCAGGAAGACACCCTGGGACACTGTTCCTGTCACCGCTGCACTCAGGCAAAGACACTCACCTTCCTCATCTGAGCCATCGCCACAGTCATCCTGGTTGTCACAAAGCCACTCATGTGGCACACAGTGACCACTGTCCTGGTATGGGGCCTCTCCTTCTGCACAGCCAGGCACCAGCTCCTCACAGAGGCACCATCACCCCCTCAATGCCACTGACCGTCCTGGCATGTGCTGAGCACAGTGTCCCCGGATCAGTCACAGCTGGGTTTGGCTGGCCAGGGATCTGGGCTCCGCCTGGGATCCTCACTCACCAGTTCCCACAGTCCTTCTGCAGCATTGTCCCCGGTGGGAAGAAGCTGCCACCCCACTCACAGGGACAGGCAGCTGGGTCCACACAGGCTCCTCCTGAGGTCACAGAGCACAGGACTCAGGGCTCAACCCTGCTACGAAGGCCCGTGGCCCTTTCCCAGTCCCTCTAGGCTGTGGTCTCTGCTATTCTGACCACATACCATGTAGCAGAGTCCCCGCGGGGCAGAAGCAGCCCTCCACACAGGTGACAGCCTGGCAGTGCCATCCAGGCTCAGGACGGTGGTCATGGCAGGTGGGGGCCACGCGGGGCCACAGGCCTCATATACCTGTCCCCCTTCACACTGCAGGGCTGGGGAGAGAGGAGAGAGGCTGGGCTCACTGAGGCACAAGGGCACCAGGAAGCAAGGTGAGCAGGCTGAATGTGTGACAGGTGTGTGGCATGGACCCTTGCTGAGGCTGTTTCTTGGTGAGTTGGAACATGTCAGGCCCCACAGGGCAGCTGTTCTTGCATGTTCGGTTCATCTAGAAAAACATCTGGCAGGCACAAAGCACCCAGTATGCATTGGACCTCGAGTGACCTTTAAATAGAAGGGCAGGAGGGCACCCTTCAAGAGGCAGAGTGGAGGCAGGGCTGGGAGCAGGGCGCACTCACGGCACAGCTCCTGGCTGTGTCAGCGCACGTAGTGCCCATGATGGGCGCGCTCATCCGTGTAGGTGGCGATGGCTGAGCAGAGGCCCTCGCAGTCACCCCCGGAATCACAGCTGTGGGAGGGAGTGGTCAGCCCACTGCCCCCTTCCCCTCCTCAGCACCCCGCTCCCCCCACAGCCGACCCTCCTCACCCGCACGTGTCGTACACACACCACTCACAGTGCTGCTGTGGGGCACCTCTGCATGGCATGGGGCGAACAGTGGCTGTAGCATGGCCCCACAGCGGGTGCGGGTCCGGGCCCAGGCTGCCCAGTGGGCATTTACCTGCAGCACAGGGTTCTGTCTGCAGCCCCAGGGCCACCCGCTGGGCCCCAGAGCTGCCCCACCTCCTGGCCCGCTCTCCCACCCGTGCTCACAGTGCAGGGAGGCAGCAGGTCTCCTGGTTCGGGGCACAGGGGATTAAGGTGCCAAGAGTGGGCCGCCAGCTCAGCCATGGGCTCTAGGACACCTTGGCGGCTCTGTGGGTCATTGCTAGCGTCACCATCAAAGTCTCCACACAGAGCAGCCACACGACCACGGAAGTGGGGGCACAGCTGGACCAGTACCCGGGTACCCAGCAGTGGCAGTACAAAATGAACTCACAGGCCCTGAGCAGGTCAGGGTGGGCAGAAAACCTGGGGCCCATAACACTGCCCTGCATCTCACCCAGCGGGCCCTGGTTCCCTCCTGCTTTGGGGGGTGAGGGGTGATAAATGCAGAGACAGACATCTAGCGGGCAGGGAACTCCTCCTTCAGTCCTATCCGGACAGGAATCCTGGCTGAGACCCCCAGCACCAGAGCCCTTGCGGGGCCGAGTCCATAGCAGGGCATTTGGGTTTCTCTCAATATCTCGCCAACAGTTAAATTTCTAGCACGCCAACTGCTTATGTTTGGGTGGTGGGATGTTAGGAGATCTATTTTCATTTTTCCCTCCTAAAACTTTGGTATTTCCTAAATGTTTCCTGGATGAGGAGGTATTGCTTTCGTGAAGAAAAACAGAATTATGAAAACAATTTGGAAACTCCAACCACTTGTATGTGCTGGGAGGCAGGGGCGGCACTGGGATGGGGGTGCCCAGGGGAGGTTAGGAGGGCAGGGTCCTGGTATAGCGTCACACTGGAAATGAGCCCTGTAGGGGATGTCGTGGGGCCCCCCTGAGTTAGGCAGGCCTTGGCAGGGAGTGTTTAGGGAGTCCGGCCCTGAGGTGCTAAGGTTGGTGTGGGTCAGGCCCCCCAAGGCTGTGGCTGACCTCTGTCCCAGAGCAGGGTGAGGCCCAGGCGAGTCGTCAGCAGCAGGAAGAGGCCAGCATGGTGCAGGCTCAAGCCAAGGCCTGTGTAGGCCTTGGGGTGTCTTATGCTCACCCCATTCACTGTCACTGCCCGGCCTGTGGAGAAAGACAGGCATTCGAGGGAGAGGCCGCCTGGGCCTATCGAGCCCTGCCTAACCTCCTCTTCCAAACTGTTTTTGCTTCTCTACCTCTGTGACCTCTGTGACCTCTGTGGCAGGTTATTAGACGTCTCTGGACCTTGATTTTTGGAGCCTTCAAGAATTATGATTCCCAAATAAAAGGAGAGCCGTCAGCCCCACCACACTAAGGATGCCCTGGTCCCTGCCACACTGTGAGCTGTGATGCATCCCCCGCCCTCTGGCGTGTCACCAGCCACCTCTGAGCATGTGCACAACGGTGCTCTCCAGACGCACGGTCAGTGCCTTGGTGCAGGTGAGGCCACTGGCCCTGCAGGGCAGGTTCTGAGCAGAGATGCTGAAGCGGCTCCTGGCCTCTCACACCAACAGGTATTCACAGGCCCCGGGGAAGGTGAGGGACAGCCCATCAAATGTCACATAGTGGGGGGCACCCGACACCTGGCACCGCCCACTGCACCGCTGGCCTGTGCGGCGCCATTGCCTGCTCTGGCACACGCTGTGAAGAAGGACTGGGGACAGATTCTCCGAGGACAGGAACTTGGGAGCTGCACACAGAGGATGCAGCCAGTCCAGGTTCAGCAACTCTACATAGGCGCTGGGCACAGGGGACCCAGGCTATCTGGGTGTCCCACTTCTCTGGCCACCCCAACTCCTTCTAGCAGAGGGCAGTGTCCCATCTGGGGAGCCAGTGGTCACAGGTCAGGTTGCAGGTCACAGGACTGGGCATACCAAGTGTTGCAGTCCTCCTGGATGGTGGCATTAGGGGGGTACCACTGCCCACTGTGACGGCAGGGACAGAGGTCAGGAGGTACACAGTGTTCATCCTGGGCAGAGGGTGGGAATGATATTTTGGGGCAGCTGGGAACCATGGTGTAGGGAGGGCCACCCTGCTGCCCACACAACCCCTCCCCAGCCTCACCAGCACCACAGTGCCCGGGGGACAGACACAGCCGTCAGAGCTGCCTGCTGGGCAGGAGTGGTTGGCATTAGGGCTGTCGCAGGTGAGGAGGCAGGTGCTGGGGTCATAGATAAGCTCCTGGGGATAGAAGGCCCGCTTCGGGGGACAGTGGTGAGCCGTGCAGTTCCAGAGGCCCCTCTCCTGGCAGATGCTGCGGGAGGATGGAGGGAGTAAGAGCCAGGCCCAGTGGGCTCTGCCTTCAGGCGCCGGTCTGCCCTGGCAAGAGTCTCAGGAACCTGGATGCTGAGGACCTGAGCAGCTCAGCCCCGACACCCCGGCCAACAGTGCCCACATCCCTGGGACAGGATGGCCACCCTTGTCTGCCCCAGCTCTAGTGGGGCCATTCTGGGGGGTCTGGAGAGGGATGGAACTATTGAATCATTCCACACCCCACCCAGGGAGAAGGATCTCACTGGAGCCTCACCCAAACCCACCAAGCTCTGGATCCTGGCCCTGCCTCTGCAGGTCTGGTCTTGCCTTTATCTCTCAGCAGCAACCTGTCCAGCCTATCTGAGCCCCAGCTTCCTCATCTGCAAAGTGGGAGCAATTCTCCCACCTCCTACCTCATTAAGTTAGTTGTCAGTGTACATGAAAGTGCTTCTTGGACCAGAAAGTGCCCCGCACTGGGGGGAAGGATCAGCTCCCTGATGTGTGCACTGTCACCCCACAGCAGCATAGCCCAGTCCATTCTCTTGCAAGCCCTTCCTCGTCACCCTGCATTCTTCCCCTTACCCCAAAGGCTGCCATCCTCACCAGTGGTTGCAGTCCTTCTGGGTGACACTGCCAGGAGTGTAGCGATGGGTTCCGAGCTGGCAGGTGCGCTGGGGGCCACACACTGGCCCTCAGGGTCCCACAGCAGCCCTGGGGGCAGGGCAGTTACCATCAGCCACACAGCTGCCTAGCTTGTCGCAATCTTCTGGCTCCCCACATGGTGGCCACATGCTGGGGCACACTCCTGGTCCTCCTGGCCACCAGGACATGGGAAAGTTAGGCAAGGGGAAACATGCAAATCAAAGGCATAGCCAACCCCTGGGCCCTATACCCATTGTGGTTCCACAAGAAGAAAAGCCCAGAAATCTACCAAGGTCAGAGGCCCTGTCCCTTCCAGCTCCTCCTAGAAGGGGCTGGGGGCTGGGGGATGACCGGGCTGAGGGACTCACGACAGAGGGTCTGGTTCCTCCAAAGCAGCAGGGCACCCTCCCGGGCACAGCGGCGTGCATAGGCAGAGAGCACTGGGCACAGGCAGTCCCTCCCAGGGGAACAGCCACACATAGCTGCCAAGCAGCGGAGCTGGAAGGCCTCCCTGTCCACCAGCCCATGGCATGCCTCGGGGGAAGAGGAAATGGGTCATATCTGCCTTCAAGGACCCCCATCCTCTTGGTCCCCATTATTGGCTTCCTGTGCCCTGTAGCCCTCCCTTGCCTTTGGTCCCTTCGCTGTACAGGCGTGGGAGGGGCCACCCCAGCTACCTGGAAGGCTGGGCTGTGCAGGATGGCACAGGCTTCTGTGAAAGCAAGGTTCTGGGAGTAGGTGCTGCAGGGGGAGAGCAGGACACTGTCCTCTGGAGGGCACCGTCCTCTGGAGGGCACCTGCCACCACCTGCCACCTGGAACTTGCTACCAGAGACAGCAATGCTGGTCTCCACATCCCCAGCTGGCGCCAGGAAGTCGTCCTGCTGGTTCCAGGTGAAGGTAGCACAGAGACCTTGTACCTGGGCCACGGAGGGCACGCGGGATGGTCAAATCCTCACCCAGCCCCTCACCCACTTCCTGGCACACCTGGTGGGCATGGCGGGGATCCAGGGTGATATAGGCTGCAGGGTCGGCCACTCCCCAGAGGACCCGGGCCCCAGGCCAACGTAGCAGCAGGAAGGAGGAGGCGGCTTGGGAGACACTGAGGCCAGCAGTGCCAGTCCAGGGCAAGCCCACATCCTGCCCGTCCACCAGCACAGCTCCTGGAACAGAAGCCTGACGTGGGGTGGGGCAGTCGGTGGGAGGGTGGGGCTGCAAGAGTGAAGGGCTTGGGTGGGAAGTGAGAGGCTCTGGGTCAGGCTAGGACCCTGCAGATCCCAACTAAGATGCCCTCTCCCTGTGGCCCAAGGACTCAGACCTGGGCGGGGGAGTTGGAGGGACCATGGCTGCCTGGTCTGGTCATGCCCAAGGCCTGTTGGACCCTCTTAGCTGCACAACTTGTGTTGTCCCTGAAGACAGGGTGTAAGATGGCTTGGAATATGTCCTCAGGACTGTATGTCTCCCTTCAGAGATGGGAGCATGGGGAAACTGAGGCAGGGAGTTTGGCTGCAGGAGTCATGTCGGGCAGTATGGACAGCAGGTGCTGGACGGTGCCTGAGACCAAAGGATGAGGGGAAGAAATAGCTGTCATGGCAGACACCTGCAGGAGACAGAGCTGAGGCTACCTGAGTCCCTGAGCTGGATGTGGGTGTCCTCCAGGGAGACAGAGAGGGCGTGGAGGCAGCTCCCAGAGTCACAGGCCCCATGCTCCAGCACCATCAGCAGCTGCCCCTGCATGTGGTCCTGGGGCAGACAGAGAGGCAGAAGCCAGGCAGGTGCTCAGGCTCCCTGGGGAGGCCTCTCTGGACCTCTCCACCTTGTCCACTTTCTGCCCCACCTGGAGGCAGCAACTGCCCACACAGCGCTGAGCACTTCCCAGCCAGCCAGACTGTGGGGTAAAGGCTTGACCCTCACCCAGGGCTGGCATGCATGGAGCTCTATTTTCTTTTTTTTGGGTACCAGGGATCCAACTCGGGACCTTTTGCTTGTAAGGCAGGTGCCGAACCGCTGAGCTAAATCTCCAGTGTGGCATGCATGGATGTGTGTGTGTGTGTGTGCACGCATGCGTGTATATGTGCATACATGGGTGTTACGTTCATGTGCGGGTATATGTGAGCACATGATTGTGTGTGCCCATATGTGCATGTATGCATGTGGAGTAGGATGATTCCCCTTTCCACCTGTGGACATGCATGTTCATCTATAAGCACGTGACCCAACTTTATGGGGAAGGCTGGTGGGAGGAGGGTCCCTCTGTCCCCTGGGGGTGACTTGTATGAAGTGGCCTATGGCAAACCCAGCCAGGCCCCTCTGAGAAAGAGGGCGATTTTGCAGCCCAGGAGGAAGTGGGGACTGATTGGAGACATTCTGCATTGCCCTCCCTGGGCTCTTCCTTGGGGGCTGTGTATTTCACTTGTTTATTGGGTGCATTCCTTACAGTCACCTCCCCCAGGAAGCCCCCAGGAGGGCCTCTACTCTGTCCAGCCCCTCTTCCTGGAGTTTGTCTTTTGCCCACCTGCACCAGGATGTAGCGGCAGCCTGAGCCACCCCGGAAGGAGAAGCTCCATCTATCAAAGGTGAGGTAATGTCCATCGCCACCCACTGCACACTCAGTGGGGCATGGGGCCCGGGCACAAAGCCAGTGGCCATCCTGGCACACACTGTGGACACATGGGGTGGGACAGGGCACTGTGGCATCAGCTCCACCCCAGGCAGGAAGGCTGAACTGGCCCCTTCCTTCCCTGGCACCTCCATTCCTACCTCCACCGAAAGTGTAGGGCCAAGGACTGTCACCTATGCCAGGAGAGGTAAAGCGTGCTGTGGGGGGCCCCAGAATAGGGTGGCGACTGGGCCGAGGCAGGCTTTGATCCCGCCAGCATAAAGGGAGGAACCCAGGGGAACCACGTGGCTGCCACTGCCAGTAAGGCTTGAGGACTCACCACGGGTTGCACCACCGGTGCACAGTGTCACCAGGGGCATAGCGCTGGCGCCGGTGGTAGCAGGGGCAGTGGGCAGCAGACACACAGTGGATGCCATCCCAGAAAAGCCCGGGTGGGCACTCACAGCCTCTCACACAGTCTTCTGCGCAGGGTCCCTCCTCACCCTGGCCCACCGCGGAGCAGCTGGCTGGGCAGGACGAGATGCAGTCGGAGAGAGCTGGCCTCCTGGGCACAGGTGCTCTGGGGGTACAGGAGAGGGCTGTGAGGGGCTCCCCTGGGCCCTACAGAGCTGGAGGCCACGGGAGAGCCACAGAGGGTGATGGCACCCTCAGGAAATGGGGGTCACTCAGAGGTTCCCAGTCAATCCCACAGGGCGGGCTGGCCAGGCCGTACCACAGAAGCCGGGCTTCCACCAGTGTATGTGAATGTGCTGCCTGGCACAAGCCTGGGCAAGGTTGGCGAGGGTGGCACACACAGCCTCCCACCGGCCCTCTTGTCCACTGCCTGCCACAGCTCCCGAGCAGTAGGCAAAGAGGCAGGCCTTGTGGTATTCATCGGGGGAACCTGCCAAGAAAGGAGAGCAAAGACCTTCCTGATGGCACCTCTACCTCTTGCTCTCATTCTGCCCTGACTTAAAATCACACAGGATGAGTGCTGGAAGGGAACTCAGAGATCACACATGACGCCATCTTGTCCCCAGAGATAAAGCCCAACAGGGAAGAGCTGGCCAATGGCCAGTGCAATCTAGTGGCAGGGCCAGATCACTTAGTTGGCACCTCTCTGGCCCCTACTCCACCCACATGAGGCTCCTCCCCTCTGGAGTGGGTCGCCACCTCCACACTACCCATACCTGAGCATGGCATTGTCTAAATGGACCCTCCAGCAGCTGGTGGCACACATCCTGGGCCTCAGCCTGCAGCTGGCCAGCCTCCATGCCTGCCTCTGCGCCCTCCATGGAGCCTTCACAGCCCTGGGCTGCCTCCACTGTGTCCAGACACCCAGGCTGGGGACAAACGGAGCCAGCCCAGTGGCCAGGGATGAGTGATGAGGGACATTTGCCAACACTGCCTTCATTGTCATACCCACCAGCCCGCATCCTGGGCGCTGAAGGCAGCAAAGTGATAGGGCTGGATGGGGACAGAGGAGCTGGGCTACAGTCAGCCACAGGCAGGGGGTTAGAGGAGCTAATGGACCCAAGCCAGTAGTGACTGGCTCAGTGGGGGCATCCCGGGGATGGTCAGTTCACAGAAACAACCAGAACTTCCTGTGGAATGCAGGGTCTGCCCACCTGCTCCTGAGTCCTGCCCCTGGCAAGGCCTGCACCCTCCAGCCAGGAGCAGAGACAGGGAGTGCTCAGGACAGGCAGGTGGGGCCTAGGATGGCAATCTCACCTCAGAGAAGGGAGCCTCCAGGAATTCCCAAAGGTGGCAGGCAGCACGGCCAGCCTCCCACCCGGCTCCATGAAGTCATCTGAGGAGGGGTGGGTGAGGCAGAGGGCTGGCCCTGGGTCCTGTCTCCTCTTCCTCCCTCCACAAGCTCCCAGGCCACACCCCACCTACCCTCCAGTCAGCCATTGTAGAGTCCACAGAGGCCCTGTGTCTGTCCCTGGAGCTCATGGTCCACGGAGACTGAGACAGAACTGTATCTGTCCAGCTGCACAACGACCCCTGGGCCCCCAGACAGCACCAGCCGGTCCCCCTGCCACTGCAGGCTCAGCCCTGGGAAAGGGCAGTCATCAGGCCACCGGTGGGCACATTCCATGCCCACCACCGCAGGGCTCAAACTGCCCAGGAATTCTTGCAGTTCTAGAGAGCTCAGCCCTTGTTTTCCTGAGGTGGAGTGTGGATGCTCTTGAGAGAGTAAGCTACAATACACACCACACACACATACACACAATATGATATACACAGACCACAAAACACTATATATATGCCATGCACACACATACCACAGATACACGCAACGCTACACACACACACAACACTATACACACAACATACACACACAACACTATACACACAATACACTACACATATAACATCCACACACAGCACACATACACACAACACAATATATACACACCACCATGCACTATACACACCCCACACACACTTATGCACAACACTATACACACAGACCACAATACACTATAGACACCACACACACAACACACACACATACACACACTGTATACACAGAACACAATACACTATACATACACCATCCACATACACACTATATACACACGGCATACATAGAAATATACCATACATATAAACACACCATACACACATACACACAACACGATATACAGACACCACAAATGTACCACGCACACACTATCGTACACTCACCTCATACACACACCATACATACACACACCACCCGTACAAATACACATCACATACACCCTATACACACAACACTCTACACACACCATACACACAACACACACACACACACACACACCACAAACACCACAGAAACAGGTACACAGCACTTGCGCCACATACATACACATCACAGCACAATTCACATATACCACATACATAACACACACACACATTCACCCTACTCCCGTGATCCCAGCTGGGATAACACCCCTGTGGGCCAGAAAGAGGCTCGGGAGGGGTAAGCCTTAAACCGTGAGACCTACCCAAGGTCATACTTGAACCAGGCCCAGTCCTCTGGGCTCATCTCAAGGAGCCACCCTAGGGCCATGGTGGGGAAGGAGCAGCTCTGTCTGCACTTCTACTGCCCTGGGCAGGAGGGGCTTTCCTGGGAAAGGGAAGGGCCCCTCACCATGGAGCAGCTGAGACTCCTTCCCCCTCAGGCATGGGCTTCCCCCTCACAGAGACCGCACCGCCCTGGATCAGCACGTCCTCGAAGCCCAACATCACCCGGACCTGGGGAGGGCCACAGTGAAAACGGGTCAGTGACTCTCCTTCCCCAGGTCCAGTCCCCTCCCTGGGGCTGTCCCCCCATTCCCTCACCAGCTGGCAGTGCCCAGGCTGGGAGCAATGGCCTTGGGGCCCCAAGTGGACAGCCCAAGTGAAATCAGTAGCACCCGCCAGCAGGTAGGTACAGTGGCCCGGGGAAGTGGTAGTGGCATCCATCAAATGTGTGGTAGTGGAAGCCTGACCAGGTGGCACAAGGGGCTGAGGGTCACTGGCGCTGGCTCCAGTGCTGGCCCACGGCCCCTGCCAGTGGTTGCAGGAGGGCTGTAGAGGAAGCATCCCCTGGCCAGGACACATCACATCAGAGTAAGGCTCTGAGTGCAGGAGGGAGGGCTGAGCTGAGGGCACAGTCCTGGCACAGGAGGAAGCTGTGGACAGGGCATGATTGCTCTGGCCGGCAGGGAAGCGGGCAAGACCCCTAGAAATGCTAGGAGATCAAGGCCTAGGGAGATGTGGGGGTGATGGCCAGGATGTGCCTATCTGGAGCTGGGGCCTGCAGACCCACCTGGGAGGTGTCTGTTGGAACAACTGAGGCAGACCTGGGAGCTGCTGTTCCACCAGCTGTGTCCCCAGGGCCAGGCACAGCACTCTTCCAGACTTCCTGCCGAAGTAGGAGTTGAGCCTGCCAGAGGCTGGCACTGCTGTGTGGCAAAGCACTGGCCATCAGGGCTTGCTTGGACAAGGACTGTGGTGGATAGAGAGAATGGGGCATGCCCTGAAGTTAGCACAGGCACAACCTAGGATTCTCAGCCTAGCTGCCTCCCCTAAATCACAGATGGGAGTTAAGAACCACAGTTACGAGTCTGCCCAGGACCCGACCCCCATAATGCCTATGCTTACCATCAGTGCACTGTGTGCCCCCCCCAGCCTGGGCAGCAAGCCCTCACTGTCCGGTTCCGGGTGACAGGCTGCATTTTGGGGGCTCTGAATGCACCAAACAGGAGGAAGCAGGGAGGGATGTTAGTGTTCAGCCCCTACTTCCCAAATTTCTGCTTGTGCCCCATCCTCCCCCATCACAGAATGTCCGGCCAGCATTCCTTTATTGCTCCACAGACAGCCCAGCCTCTGACCCTCACTCACGTGTAGATGGGGCAGAGCCCAGGTGCTGGGGACCTGGTGAACCCTCCACGGCCACCCCAGTAGGGCAGGTCCAGACGCCAGCCTAGGAGGCTGTCATGGTAGAGGCTGGTGCAGGGCACCAGGTCCTCCTGACGGGGGGTTACTTCTTCCTCCTCATGGATGATCTCTGTCCATTCACACCATTGCCTGTCCAGGATAGGGAGTCACAGCTGCTACCACCATTCCCTCTGTCCTCAAGAAGTTGTCCTGCAACCCCACTCCTCCCATAAGAGCTAATTCCCAGGGGAGGTCTCTAAAACAAGGAGGAGGCTAAAGTTGGAGAGAGAAACACAGGGAGGCAAGGCTGGTGTCACACAGGGTCCCTGGGTATCAGCCAGAGGATCTTAGCCGGAAGGGTCCTGGGGGCTGCTTACCCATTAGCTAGTGCCCACAGCATCCCAAAGAGGAGGGTGGGAAGCAGCATGGTGCCCGACCCCCAGGCCACCTTTGGGGGACCTGAGGTTCGGGCTTGGGCAGTGCTGCCACAGTGGAGCAGAGATGATGCCAGTCTGTCCAAGGCTGGGCCCTGGAAGTGGGGAGGCTTTATCCTGATCTCATGCTTGGTGACTGCAGCTGCTCAGAACTGGATTGGACCTGCTGACAGCCTCCCCTCAGAGGACAACTCTCCCTGGTAGCGGGCCTCTCTGTCCCTGCTAGTGTGTATGTGTCACTCAAGGGGAACCACCGCCAGTCACTTTGAGCCTGTTGGGTTCCTGCATGCACAGGCACTACTGCAAGTCAGAGTGGGAACCCGGGCAAGCCACCTCTCTTTCTGGGCCTCTTTCTGATCAGCAAAAACCTTAGGGACTTCCCAGGGCTGCACAGATGGGACTCAGGGACTCCATGAGTTCTTTGAAATTTTGTGTGCACACACTTTTCCAAGGACAGTTTCATAACTTTTATTAGATTCTCAGGGGGAGCCCCACCAAAAGGTTAAGAGTTACTGGGCTCAGTGATGGATGAAAATGACTTTATTATGGTGTTCTCCCTGTTCTTTTCCTGCCTCCTCTGTCCCCTCTCTCACCAGGCCATGCACTCAGGAATTGAGGCCCAAGGTAGCTGGAAGACAAGAGGATAATACGTACCTCTTCCCTCTGTAGGACGTGACATTTTAGGAGGGGTGATTGTGCTGGGGCCATTGGTCCCCTGTGAGAGCTTTTTAGGGTCCCTGGGGTCCTGAACCAGGGCACCTAGGCTAAGGATTGAAAGCTCTCAAACGTGGGAGCTGAGGTGGGGTTGGAGGCACCTCCCCCAGGCCAGGGGCAGAGCTGAGCCGGATGGAATAATCTCAGTACCCAGCTGGGAGGGGCAAATGACAGGCTCCACAGGAGAATCCTGGTTACATCCTGGTTACCAGCAGAGCTCCAAAGACACCAGGTCGGAATGTGGCCAGGATGTCAGACTTGGACTCCTCTACCTCTTAAGCCTAATGTCCCACTAAGCATCCTGTGCAGCCATCCAATCTGGGCAGTCAGACCTGGGCCAGTGTTCCCTCTCCTGGGCCCACCATAGGGCCTGGGCCCAAAAGAGGGTCCAGTGTGAGTCCCTGCTGGGGCTCAGGAATGGCCAGAGTTGGCTCCCCAACCCCGGAGTCCTGGGAAAGGGCCAAGGTCTGTCAGACTCTGTTACTCCAGCCTTTCACTCACTCACTCACTCGCTCGCTCTCTGACATACTCTCCTTTAGTGTCCTGCACATGGGGATGCCCCCAGCAGGTGTCAAACCCCAGCCCAGGCCACACAGAGGGACATAGTCTGTTCCCTCTAATGAGCCTCGGGACTTAGAAGAGCTGACACAGCTAAATCTGAGGGATCCGGGCTTCTCCAGGTCGCCCAGAGTCACACACCGCTCATTCTAACCATCCACAAACGTTGAAAGCACCTCTGCTGTGCCAGAGCTTCCCTGTCTTCTGCAAGGTCAGCCCTGGGTCACTGCGTCCAGACTGCACAGCTGTCCCCATGGCTGTCCCCGTGGGGTGACTAGCCAGTAGCAGTGTGGTGCAGGCACAGGTGGCATTCCGCTTCCCTTTCCCAGTCTTCCAGCTCTGGATTGCAAGCTGCATTTGGATTGGGAAGAAAAGGCAAGTCGCAGCTGCCCTTTCACCTACAGGGGCGGGAAAGAGGAAGCAGGAGTCCAGGGGAGTTCGCAGAAAGCTCGTTCTGAGCAGGCCCAGCATAACTGCCCAGGATTTGAACTCTAGGAGGACGGTGTCCGGGGCGTTCCAGGAGTGGAGGCATGTGCAATGCCGAGGAGAAGGGGCTGAGACTGACAAAGACAGCGGGCGAGGTCCGGAGGAGACGGATCCGAGGGCTGAGGACAGCGAAGCCCTCCACACCCAAGTCCCAGAGGTTCCCGGGGCGCGCCCCCTTCTCTCGCCCCTCACCCCCTGCAGCCTCAGGGTCAGCCTGGCCCTCTCCTCTCCCCGGGGACCTGGCCCCCAGCCTGCGGCTCCCCAATTTCTACACCGGGGACCCAGCTCGCTCGTCTCCCTCCACCTCCCAGGGGTCCCGTCCCGGGTCCCAGATCAAGTCCTAGGACTTGGGCTGGAGAGTGTGGATCTCGGTGGATCGGGTGGGATCCGGATGGGATCTGAGCGGACAGCCGGCCGTGGTCTCCCAGACAACCCCCGACCATCGCCACAGGCTGGCACGGCGGCGTAGACGGCAGCGCGCACACCCAGGAGCCCCTCTCCGAGCGCGCCCCCTCCCTCATCCCCCAACTCCTCAACCCCTGAGCGCGCTCCACCTTTCCCGGCTCCTCCCTCCAAGAACCCTCCTCCCTCCGGCTCCGCAGCCCGGGCGCCCTTCCTCCCCTCCCTTCCTCGGCTCCCACTTCCCTCCACCTCCCCGTGCCTCGCTCCTCCCGACCACCACCTGAACACCTAGCGCCCGAGCGCCCTCTGGGGACCTCCACCCTTGAAGGCCCCGGGCCCCCACCTGCGAGCGGGCGCCCTGGCTCCGGCTCCGCTCCCTCCGTCCCCGCCCCCTCGGGCGGCGCTGCCCGGCCCCTCTCCCCCGCCCCCCCCGCGTGCCCTCCTCCTCCCGCGAAGTTTCAGGCTGTCAGTCCGTCGGTCTCGGGCCGTCCGCACCGGGCTGCAGGCGGCGGACGCCATTGTGCGCGGAGCCGCGGGAGCGAGGCCCGGCCGCCTGGGTTCCTGCGGGCCTTGGCCGGGAGACCCGCCAGGTAGGGGCCAGGTGCGGGCCAGGTGCCGGCAGAGGCTTCGCCACCCCCCTCGGGCGCTCGGCCCACTACCCGCGTGCAGGTGACAGCCGCGGGGAGAGGGCACGGAGGGGCGGAGAGGTCGAGGCTGCGGGGGTAGGGTCCTGGGGCCGAGCGAGGGGCCCGCGAACCGGAGGGCAGGGCGGGGGCTGGGGAGGAGCCGCGAGATCCCGAGGCGGGGAGGGGGGAAGGGGTGCAGGAGGGAAGAAGGCAAGGCGGAAAAACGGGGCGCTGGGTCAAGCTGCTCTGGAGGGGCGAGAGAAGAGGGCGCTGACAGGTGACCGGAACCCGAGTGACTCCGGAGGACCGGTGGGGTGGGGAGGCAGCGGGGGCGGGGGGGGATCTGGTCTTGAGGAAAACTTGGGAGGGGTAAGAAGTCCTCGGGGAGCAGAAATGGGGACAGGGGCCGGAGAGGGGGGTGTGCCGGGGAGAGAGGGATTCCTAGGGGCGGCGGGGAGGGGCAGGGCTCGCGAGAAGGTCCGCACTGCGAGGTCACTGGGAGCCGCAGGCTTGGGGACCCGGGGAGCAGGCTGGAAGGGGGGGAAGTGCGTTTCTGGGGAGCGGAGGAGGGGGAGGGGAGCGAAGCTGGAGCCGGCAGTAAGGGGAGGCGGGGGCCGCGGAAGGAGGAGAGCTGCGGGAGGGAGGACGGGG